TGTTCCACGGTGATCCTAGTGGGTGTAGAGGAGTTCTTGGACTGAGTGTGCAAAGGCTGTTGGGTAGAAGGGTGTGGCTTCCACCAACAATGCACCTCCTAAGCTGGATGAGTTACAGAGCAAACCGGCAGCGCTCCGTATCCAGGGCTTCCACAACCACGGATCCAGCCAGTGGCGGGTTAGAAATACTAGAGAAAAAAGTTCCATCTGTGCTGAACATTTACAGACTTTCTCTTGTCTTTATTTTCTAAACAAGACAGTATAAAAGGTGTTTGAAGCATATGAGTGAGCCCAGTGTGGTAGTGCACACCTGGAATCCCAGCAACTCAGGAGGCTGAGGCAGGAGGATCTCAAGTTCAAGGACAGCCTCATAACTCAGTGAGACCCTGTCTCAAAATAAAAAGTAAAAAGGGATGGGGATGTGACCCAGTGGTTAAGCATCCTTGGGTTCAATCCCTGGTATATAAAAGTATGTACATACATAAATAAAGGTAAAATAAATAAACATAAATAAAAGTAAAAGGGCTTAGTGGTCAAAGCCCCCTGAGTTTCTTCCACACACACCTAAAAATTAAAATGTGTCAGAGGATACGTGTAGATTGTATTCAAACACTATGCCTTTTATATAAGGGATTTGAGCATCTGCAGATTTTGGTACCCATGGCAGGGGGCATCCTGAAATCAGTCTCTCATGGATACCATGGAAACTGGAGCCCTATAACCATTTCCGTATACCTCTAATGCCTACATGCTGTTAAATACAAATTATAGGGAAGCCCTTGTTTTGGACTAAGCTCCTGCCCTGGACCCCAACAGAGCAAATTAGAAATCAAAGTGAAATCCCTGGAATTGCACCTCACCACCCTGAAGCTAAGCAGTTCATGTGACCTCTGGAGATGGGAAGCCATGGAGAGAGAGCCCTTTTTCCCAAACAGGCCAGTTTGAATTGTCATGGTGATGACATCTGCTCTGCCTTAACCTTACACACAAAAAAGTAGCCTGGTGTTAATCAGTTTTCTTCCTGTTGTTCTTTCTCCCTCTCCCTGCCTTCTAAGGAAACCAACTTTGAAATGACAGTCCTCTTTATCCATCCCTCTGACCCCCTTTCTTCAGCCACTTTTTCTATTAAGAAAACCAACCTCTTGTGCTCAGCTTCCTGGAACATTCATTCTATTCTATGGAATGAAGTGTCACCTGCAGCTAGAGTCAAAAATAAAGCAAAGTAAGATCTTTAAATCCTTTCCATCTCGTCCTCTGACAACGCTGTACTGAGCGTTGTTGTGGGCGAGACCCACTTCTGCCCTCTTAGGTTCCCCTGGAAATTAAACTGGTCAAAGACACATTTGCAGAAACGCTGCACTGGGTTGGTTATTAGTCCATGCGTCTTGTTTACACAAGTAAGCTCCCAGGGACAGTAACCCTCAGGGATGGGGGGCGGTTAGAATTGGGGTACAGACTAAGGGGAAGGAGAGGCTTGGGAGCTCCTGGGGGCAGATGAGGAGGGAAAGCAGTGAGCCTGAGCTTAGTAGGTTTGTTATGCAGATTTACGGCCTTGCCTTCTCCATTGGTGAGAAATGGGATTCTTCCTGGTGCAGAAAGACAAAAGTGCCCAGTTCTTAAGACTTTCACTTAGTCCTTTAGCCCCAGATGACCCCTCTGCCGAGTACAGTATCTTGGAGTGGTACCCTTCGATAACGCTGCATCATCCTTTCCTTTTGCTCTCAGAGACCTAACTGGATTTTGTTTCTTTGTTTAGGGGTACCCAAAACTTTCCTTTTTGTCTCCCCACACTGCCAAATTAGAAAAATATAAGCAGTTGCCACAAGACAGAGTAGAATCTTTCCTCAGCAATGACAAATCCGTGTCACGCCCCAGATGTGTTTCCATGTGAGAGTTGTTTCCTGGAGTCCCAGGCTAGAGGCCTGACATCAGGGAGCCAACAAACCAGACCTGGCCATTCACCCCAAAAGCCAAAGAGCAAAGGTGATGGTAAAAAGCAGGACAGGAACCTTGGTCAGCGCAGCTGCACAGGAAGACAAGAGGACCTGTCCTTAGCCCTGCCTTCCAGGAGTGAAGGCGACTTGGAGATTTTATAGATAGGAGGATGAGGGCAGGGGTTGGGGGTTTGCAGAGCTGGAGGCTTTTCACAGGTGATCTCTGTCCATCTCCTCTCAGGCAGAGCTTGTCCCAGATAAGGAACTTGCTGTTTCCTGGGGGTGGCTTCCGCTCATCACAAGATGTTGATCAGCTCAGACCTTGTTCCTAGAATCCAAGGTCACCTAGAGCAAAGCACATGGATGCAAAATGGAGGCGGAGATGCCAAGGCTTTAATCCTCAGAGATGAGGAACCCGCATCCTTGTTATAAGGTCACTGTCAACCATAACGTTGCCATGGTGACTCCTGAGTCACAGAGCTGTTTAGAGTTTTTATTAATTAAAGAGATTTCTGGGTAGGGGATGCTGTTCCGTGGTTTAGCACTTGCCTGGCATGCATAAGACTTGAGTCTCTTCCCCCCTGCCCTGCCCCCCAAAAAAAAGGAAAAAAAAAAAGAAAAAGAAAAAAAAAATTCTTCTGCACTTGCTAGTAAAATACATGGAATAAGTCTTCAATTATTTGAAGAGCCATTTCCAACTGATGGTTTACTTCAATGATTGCAAAATGTGAAAAAAAAATGTCCTATATTCTATGTTAAGGCAGAAATGTGTGTACTACACTCCTGCTTGCCTTTATTTCTGAGGTTCTGGTTGTGTGGATTTTTGTGAAATGTTTATTTGATCCAGGATAGCGGCCTTTCCTAATTGGCTTCTTTCACTTACCATAATGTGTTGGGATTCATCCACATTGTAGTTTCATTCATTTTCTTTTGGGACTTTGTGTTGGGAGTGGGAATCAAACTCAGGTCCTGCACATGCTCTGAATTACATCCAAGACTTCCTTCTTTTCGTGACCAACTAATATTCCACTGTGTGTATTTAGGTCTTTATTCATCCCTTTAGTATTTGATGGACACTTGGATTGTTTCTGCATTTTTGGCTTTTGTTAATAATACTGCTTTGAAAATGCATGCATCAGTTTTTGTGTGGATATATGCTTTCATTTCTCTTGTGTTAAACTTGTTTAACGTTTTTAATCTGCCAAGTATGGTGTGTATGTTTGTGCCGTTTTGTGGTAATGGGTGGTAGTTACTGAAAACTCCAACTGCCATTCTCTTTGAATGAGCTCTGGCTCATTTTCTGCCTCTTGAAGTTGCTTTATCTTTTAGTGACTTTTCGGTGACTTTCCTTTTGGGACTTAGCTATGTTTTGTGGGAACTCTGCTTTCTTTCATTGTATTCAGTGGAAATCTCTTGCTAACAGTAGAAAGAAAGCTGACAGTATTTCACTTGCTGGTTTGTGCCCTTCTTTATTATAAATAAACAGTAACATTTAGCCCTTTTAGCCATTTACAAAGCACTTTCCTTTTGTGAGATCATGTAACCCTCCCTGTAGTCCTGTGAGATCAGCTCAGGTTGCTGTTTTCTGGGTGCTCAATTCATGATCCAGTTGATTTCCTTTCAGAAGAGTAATTGGTACTCACCTGTGACCCAAGAGGATCCCTTCATCCACCAGAGTCATGGGTCTGTTGTTTTTAGAGCACTTTTTTCTTTAGGTGCAGAGAAAGTATGTTGGCCACCAAAGAAGAAAGCTTGTGAGCCAAGGCTAGTGATTTTCCAACTGTAGCCTGCATCACAGTCACCTGGGAGGCTTGTCAGAATGCACACTGCTGGGTGTAAATGAAGTTTCTCAGCCAGAAGATCTGGGGTTGGCTTCAAGAATCTGCACTTCTAACTAGTTCCCAAGTGATGGGGTTCCTGCTGGTCGCAGGACCACACTTTGAGAATGATAAGCCTGGCCAACTAAAGTGTGTTTCCTGGATGATTGTTCAGCTAGAACTTCTCAAAGTGTAGTGTGCTGGACTGATTCAGTTGGCTGGGGAACGCTTCTGAGAGGATCTGAGTAGCTCCCAGGTCGTGCCATGGCACTCTGAGTAGCAGGGCGTGAAAGACAAGGCGGGAACTGGGGTATAGCTCAGTGGTGGAGCACTTGGTGGCGTGGACAAGGCCCTGGGTTGGATTTTCAGCACCACATACAAAAAAGGGAGTCATATGCTCTTCTCTACTTGGGTAGTTCTTTGTTTTTGTACAACCATATGGTCCAAAATAAATGCATAAAGCTGAGCTCACTGGCGTATGCCTATAATCCTAATGACTCAGGAATCTGAGGCAGGAGGATCACAAGTTTGAGGCCAACCTTAGCAATTTAGTGAGACCCCCAAGCAACTTAACAATACCCTGTTTCAACATAAAAAGGGCTGGGATATAGCTCAGTGGTAAAGCATCCCTGCGTTCAGTCCCCGGCACTACTATTAATAATAAATGAATAAGTAAATAAATGCTTCAGAGTTTTAACTGTAATATTTGCAGTAAGTTAAAGTTGCCTGATGTGATCTTTTAAACGGATGTCTCCAAGTTCTAAAATACCTATGTCTCACACACAGATCCTAAGATTGAATACAGTATTTTTCTTATTGGGATTCTAAATTCATTCTTTTAAATTAATGGAGTTATGCTGGGGACGGTGGCACACATCTGTAATCCCAGCGAGTTGGGAGGCTGAGGCAGAAAGATCACAAATTCAAGACCAAATTTAGCAACTTAGTGAGGCCCTAAACAACTTAGTGAGATCCTGTCTCAAAATAAAAAGGGCTTGGGGCTGTAACTCAGTGGTAGAGTACTCCTGGGTTCAGTCTTCAGTAAAAAACAAAATAAAGAAAGAAAGAAAAACTGATGGAGTTACATTTTGTTTTTCTTTGATTCTTGGCAAATTAATAGCGAGTTGATTGCATTGACCTTAAGGTCTTGTTGTTCTGCCTGTTCTGCGTATTTTATACACAGAAGAAAATTATTTTGTGAAAGCAAAGCGAATGTTTCGTAGAGTAACTTTTCTTTTTTTCTCGGCAGATCATTGACAACCTTAGGGCTTGTTATATCATCGCTGGCTGACCAGGCTGCAGGCAAGGGTAAAAACAAATTTGTGCCTTATCGAGACTCGGTCCTCACTTGGCTTCTTAAGGTAACCCGTTGCTCTGGTGCTCTCTTCCACCTAAAAGTTGGCCATTTCACCAGGGTGCACTGGGGCACGCCTATGATCCCAGTGGCTCAGGAGGCTAAGGCAGAAGGATCACAAATTTGAGGCCAGTCTCAGCAATTTAGTGAGACCCTGTCTCAAAAAATAAAAAGGGCTGGAGATGTAACCAGGGTAGAGCACCCCTGGGTTTAGTCCCCAGTCCTCCCAAAAATTAAAATGAAAATAAAATTGGCGACTTCAGATGTGACAGTTGGAAGATGTGTGCAGAGCCAACCAAATACACATGGATCTGTGCTGGCAACACTGTCGTCCGAAGTCCCAGGAAGGCAGGGACAGTTCTCTCGGTTGCTTTTTATTCTATTATAACCTTGTTTGACAGGCATTATTTACTGCTGTGATTATAAGGAGGTCACATTTAATCTTGTCATAAAAATTATTTGTGAAATGCAAACACGTCTCCCCATAGCATTTTTATCCAGAGTCAGGTCATGGGCACACTAGGTGGCTGATGCTTCTGACTCCATCTACTTGGGAGGCTGAGATAGGAGGATCGCAAGCTTGAGGACAGCCTGGGCAATTTAGCGAGCGTTTGTCTCAAAATAAAAAGGGCTGGGGGTGTGACTTTGTAGAATAGTGCTTACCTAGTATGCACCAGGCCCAGGGTTCAATCCCTGGTACCATATGAAAAACAGAGTCATGTCACAGATGCATATTTACTGCTTTCATCAAATGTGTTGTGTTGAAATGGGCTTCCCTGAGATGCTATTTGAAATGCTTTGCAGGACAATTTGGGGGGCAACAGCCAGACCTCCATGATTGCCACCATCAGCCCCGCAGCAGACAACTATGAGGAGACCCTGTCCACGTTAAGATACGCAGACCGAGCCAAGCGGATTGTGAACCATGCCGTGGTGAACGAGGACCCCAATGCCAAAGTCATCCGAGAACTGCGGGAGGAAGTGGAGAAGCTGCGGGAGCAGCTCTCCCAGGCCGAGGTAAAGTCGGGGAGATGCTCCGTTTTCGAGTTCTTCCCTCACGGGGTGAGGACGTGCTTGCTTGCAGCTCTGGGTCTAGCTCCCTGTGACTCGATGTTGCAGTTTTTGTTGGCGTCTGCTCTGTGCCGAGCATCGTGAGGACCTACATGACTTCTGTCCTAGCAATGTGCAGTCAACAAGGTCATTCCTGGTACTTCCTGATTGTTCACTCCAGTCAACGGGTTGGCCCTTGTACTTCCGTGTGAAATCCTGAGAACCTAGTGTGATGTTTTACCAATACCGTAGACTGGGTCTCCACAAGGCCTTGCAGTTTTCAAAGAAGCTGGGTATCATCTCCATGTCGAGTCTTGCCCATGCCATGAGCACGGATAATGAAGCATTAGGAATGATTCAGAAAATTATTTATTTTTCCTTTTTCATTTACATCAGCCTCCATCAGGCAACAAATCACTATTTTCGCATTGTTACCATCTTCCTTGGCTTTTCTGAAACTTTAATAACCATGTACTCTCATAGATAAGTGCTGGTCTTTGCAGATTGCTGGGCGTGGCACCACCTCATTTGGCATAGGTGAGGGGACAGAGATGGAGGCCAAAGGCCGTAGCTGCAGCCATCAGCTTCCTCACGGCAGGGCTCAAGTGTGCACCTGACACTTGAGTTCACCGTTCTTCATGCTGCTGTCTTCTGACCCCACTTTAGTCAGAAATGAAGGAGGAGGGCGATAGCCATCATTTATTGATTGCTTATGTGCCGGGCATCTTTTCATACTCTTTATCTGTCAACATTATTTAATTAAAAAGTAATCAGCAAGAGACAGAACAGACACTGAGGTTGGCGACCTTGACCTTGCGTTTTAACTCTTTCTTTACTGCCTTGTCTTCTTCCAGACTGTTGGCTCTGAAAGTGCAGGGAGCCTTTGTTTAATTCATTTTTTTCATCCTTAACTCCTCGCCCAGCTGGCCCAGGAAGTGCTGCTAGTTTATGTTTTACCATAAAGCATAATCGCTGTATTGATGCCAAGAAGGGTTAGTAAAACACCAGGAAAATCAAAATGTTGATGAAGTTTTAAAAGAGTCATGATCCCAGGAGGAGTGTGTATTTGTTCTGGAATTTGTTCAGAGGCAGAGTTTCTGGATTTGCATTCCCACTGTGACCATATGATCCAGACCAGATAGCTAGAGCAGTGCCTGGTCAGGGGGAGAGAAGACGAGCCCCCTGGTGCAGCTGGAGTTTCCTGGCAATCACCCTGTATCCAGCAATGAATGTCCCCGAGCCCCTGGTGGCACCTGGAGACTCGGCTTGCTCAGCCAGCAGGCCATCACCAGCCCCGCTGCCAGACCAGGCTCCACCATTGTAACAGTTCACAGCGCTTTGGTCTTCAGAGGCTCGTGATGCTGCAAAGTGTCGGAGCAATCCATTGCCAAGCACAGCCCCCCAGGTTTTCAAGTTGCAGGTATCTCTGTTTGGACCCCTTAATTATTCTTACTGAACAAACTCAGAGGGAAACTTCTCAGACGTCCTGGTTCCAAATGAATCATAAATAATTGGCAAAATGTCCATTACCATCTATAGAGAAAAGTCGTTGAAAGGGCCCAGATTCAGATTTTTTGAATAAATGAAAAGAATCATCCTCTTTCTTGGTCAGTTAATGTAGTTCATTTGTTTATTGGTGGTACGAGTTTCTCTCTTTGTCTTAATGAACAAGAAGTTTCAGTAACCTTTTTTTCCCACTTTAACATCTCAAAGATAAACATTAGCATTTAGGTCTTTAGGTGTGAAATTCTAAGCATGATAGCTGAAGTGATTTTTGGGGGGGTCTGTGCGGTTTTGGAAATGGAACCCAGGGCCTCTTGCATGCCAGGCAGGCACCCTACCACTGCACTACACCCTCTGCCCTAAGATGACTCTCGTGACCTGCCCCATTTTCATTCAGGGCTCTGGTATTTCTTCTTTTCCTTGAAGCAGGAGCATCCACTCCTCCTACATTCCGTGTGATCGGTAGAGGTCTAAACCCCACCCTGACAGTGCGTGACTTAATTGCTTCCAACAGAAGGACATGAGGACACCATTGTACGTGTCTTGTACCTAATGCTAGGAGAATTCTGAAAGTCACATGTCTCTGCTTTCATTTTAAAGGCCATGAAGGCTCCTGAACTGAAGGAGAAGCTCGAAGAGTCTGAAAAGCTGATAAAAGAATTAACAGTGACGTGGGAAGAGAAGCTGAGGAAGACAGAAGAGATCGCACAGGTACCCGATGACCGAGGCCAGCGGATGGGGGTTCTTCTCATGTAGATTTGCTGTCTTCGCGCAGCCACCTGCTGTCCTCAGTCCTCAGGGTCCCTGCCCAGCTAGAGGCTGCGAGCTCAGCTTTAGACACCAGCTTCGTGTCTTTCATTGATTCAGCTTGGTCCATAGCTGCCAGCAGTGTCGGGTGCTGCCCCTGAGCAGGCCGGGCTTCGGGAGCTGCCCTCACACTTGGCCCTCATCCACAGCCTGTCCTGGGCTTTTTAGGTCACCTGGCAAAGCACGAGGTTGAGAGCCCCGATAGGCACTGAATTTATAACATACACAACAATGATTTGTTCAGTGTGTTTGATTCTCTGGGCTCTAACCCCAGCAACTTGGGAGGCTGAGACAGGAGGATGGCAAGTTCAAGGCCAGCCTGGGCAACTTAGCAAGACCCTGGCCCAAAGTAAAAATTTGAGAAAGGGCTGGGAGTTTGACTCAGTGGTTAAATCCCCTTAGTTAAATCCCCAGTACCACCAAAAAGAAAGAAAGAAAACGCTGAAGGAATTCTGCCTGAAATAAAATAAAGCAAGGACTAATTCTACAGAGTGTGTGTGCTATGAATCTCTCTACACTGTGCATTTCATGAAGTTTTTTTTTTTTTTTTTTTTTTTTTGATGCTAGGAACTGAACCCAGGGCCTTTACATGCAAGGCAAGCACTTTACCAGCTGAGCTATATCCCCAGCCCCTCATGAACATTTTTTTTTTTAGTTGTTGATCAACCTTTATTTTATTTATTTATTTATATGTGGTGAGAATTGAACCCAGTGCCTCACATATGTGAGGCAAGCACTCTACCACTGAGCCACAACTCCAGCCCCCCCAAGAACATTTTTAATCCTACTGACCACATGGAAATATTGGACTATGCCAATCAAGTAGTTTAAAAACAATCCCTAGAACCCAGTCCGTCCTTGCTGATGCATATATATATATATATAAAACAGGGGAATGCATTACAACTCTTATTACATATATAGAGCTCAATTTTTCATATCTCTGGTTGTATACACAGTATATTCACACCAATTCATGTCCTCATACATGTACTTTGGATAATAATGATTATCACATTCAACCATCATTAATTACCCCCTGCCCCCTCCCTTCCCCTCCCACCCCTCTGCCCTATCTAGAGTTCGTCTATTCCTCTCATGCTCCCCCTCCCTATCCCACTATGAATCAGCTTCTTTATATCAGAGAAAATATTCATACGCTGATGCTTCTTATAGAAAAAATTCACATGCACACACACTCACACACACTCACACACCCCTCCCTATCCTGCTTCATGGGTCCCCAGAGCACTTAACCCCACTGCGAATTCTGTCAATAACTTCTCTGGTTTTTGCAGCCTGTCTCCTCCCACTAGAAGAGAAAGGAGGGACTTTGTCACAGTCGCTACTGCATTCCCAGCCCTCCATCAATACCTGCCACTTTGCAGACTCTAAATAGAATAGCTCTCATCTGAATTAGTGCACCAGTGAATTCAAGGCCTGGAATCTAAGGCCCCACCCTGCTGTTCCCCCTGTCTCCAGTGCCTTTCCCTATTCCCTGGGGTTTCTCGGTCCCCGAGGCCAGCCACTGTGCCCAGGGTCTGTCCTGGGCTTCCCTACACCCATCTTGGTCTTGCTGCTCCCTCATTTCTTCCTGTTGAAATTCTTCTCGTGCTGGGGAACCCTCTCGAGCGTGCCTTCCCCCTACAGACTTTCCCTGAGCCTCTCCCTACAGGCCGCCTCCCTCCTGTGACTCCTGCAGCTCTCGGTACCCCGGGGCACAGGGCTCTCCTCTTCTAGATTCAGTTATGTGCTTTGCTCCCTCTGCCAGGACTTTACCTCCTGCATGGCCGAGATGTGTCTGGTTCCCCCTTGGTGCCCCTGTGACACTGACCCAAGATGTCACGCCGTGGCAGGCTGTCAATAAACGTGGTTCAGTGGAGAAGAACGTGTCGTCTCATTGGCATTGTCCCCGGAAACAGTGACTTACTCTTTCCCTGGATACATCTTGTGAATACAGCAACAAATAGTGTTCCTGCTTTTGTCTTTTTGTGTGTGCCCAGGAGAGACAGCGACAGCTTGAGAGCATGGGCATTTCTCTGGAGACGTCCGGCATCAAGGTGGGGGATGACAAGTGCTACTTGGTCAACCTGAATGCAGACCCTGCTCTCAACGAGCTCCTGGTTTATTATTTAAAGGTGAGAGTGTGTGAAGAGTGGAGCTCCTGAATCATCCACGTACAGCTCCCAGCTGAACCTGGAGGCCTGTCTCTGTGATTTTGCTTTGGTATCCAGCTTAACCCTCATTAGGAGTAAGACACTGGGGCATGTAATCTCCTCTCCATCGAGAATGAAAAACATCTCCTTGGTTTCACCTGGGGCTGGGCAGCTGGGGTGAGGATCCCCTCCTTGTGCAGCTGAGGGCGTCCAGGTGAGCCCCACCTATGGGAAGAGTCCACACGGGAGGTGACTGAGAATATTAGGTCCTGCCACAAAGATCCTGAGAGGCCCTGGAGACTCTGTTATGCTTCTGAGTAATTCTAAGGAGATCTCAAGATCCACCTGAAGTCTAAGCTCTCGTTCTAGATAAGACAGCAAAGGTCTTCCAGGTCTGTCGTCTCTAAATCTTCATCCCCAGGAAGAGACTTTTTGTCCTCTAATCAGCCTGTAAACATGGTGTCAAGGAGTTGGCACCTTGACCTCAGAGTGTTCACTGACCGTGTTTGCCAGGTTATTATGGTGGTTCTCAAACTCCCTGGCTTTGGAACCCAATGATAATGTTGAAAAGTATCAAGGACTCCGTAGGTTTTATCTGTGTTTGTTGCATTGACATTAAGACTGAAGACATCTTAAAAGACAAACATAAAAAAATAACAGCAGTTAGTCTCCAGAGCTGCCTCATCACTCATCAATGGCCTTCAAAGACTCCACTGTCTGTGGTGATGAATGACAGCACAGAGGAAATTAGTAATATTTTTATTGAAGTGATTTTGAGTTCACGGGCCTCCCTACCAGTTGTCATGAACATGCTTTTAGAGCTGCTGGCTTATTCCGTTTTGTAAGAAATAAGAAACCTGAAACAGGCCCCTAACAATGACGTGGGGCACCCCAGCTGACCTAGGACATTCAGCTGACCATTGGAGCACACTTAATCATGCACACAAACTCTGAATTATGGTAGTATTTAAATATATATGTAAGCTGGGCACGATGATGCACACCTATTATTCCAGCAGCTCAGGAGGCTGAGATAGGAGGATCGTGAGTTCAAAGCCAGCTTCAGCAAAAAAGCAAGGAGCTAAGCAACTCAGTGAGACCCTGTCTCTAAGTAAAATACAAAATAGGGCTGGGGATGAGGTTCAGTGGCTTAGTGCTCCTGAGTTCAATCTCCAGTAACACCCCCGCCAAAAAGAAAAAAAATATATATGTGGAGTACTGACCTAACTGTCGGGGTTGAGCACCTGGGCCTGGAAGGTAACTCACTGCACTGCCCACTTGCCTGAATTTCTAAGTGTAGAGGAATTACCTTCTCGTGAAGGGTGAGATGGGTTCTTGTTAAGGGTTCTAGTCTGCCTAGTAAACTGATAAAATACAGTGGACAATAAGCCAGAATTGAAGCAAGGAGCCTCAATCGTCTGTGACCCTTTTTTTCCTTTCTAATTTTTGCGGAGATATAAATATGGTACAGTAACCTCTGACTCAGAATCTACTAACAGATTTAAGGTCTGTTTATTTAGGAAATGATTAAGAGATGAGGAATTACTTCGGGTGTTTTAATTTTGAAGAACCAGGAACTACACCACTTCTGTTGCCTAGGGAAGTGTCACTGTGGTAGTCAGCTTTTCACCACTGTGACAGAATACCTGAGGAAAGCACTTAGAGAAGGGACGTTTATTTGGGCCCCTGGTTTCAGCGGTTTCATGGTCACCTGGCCCCATTGCTTCTGGGCCTGTGGTGAGGCAAGAGCATCATGGCGGGGAGCGAAGCTGCTCAGCTCCTGGTGACCTGGAAGCAGAACCAGGGGCAGGGTCATATCCTTCAAGGGTATGTTCCCAGTCACATCCTTCCTCCAACTAGACCCCACTCCTGAAGTTCCCACCACCTCCCGGTGTGTCACCAGCTGAGTACCAAGGTCTCAACACGGGAGCCTTTGGGGGAAGACCAGATCCAAACTAGGATAATTATCATAATGATTAAATAATTTGTAGAGCAGTTGAAAAATTACCATGTGAATGAACAGCGACTCAATCAGCAGGAGTTACAATTCTGGTGTGTCTGAGGTCCAGGGAACTTAAAATCAGCTCACCTGTACAATGTGTCACTACTCTGTATCATATTCATATTAGAAAAACAGCTGTGTGCATCATTTTAAATGTTATGTATACACGTGGCTGGGGTGTCGCCCAGCGGTAGAGCCCATGCTTACCTGAGTTCCACCCCAGCACCAATGAAAGAGCAAAAGTTTTATGTAGATAGACAGATATAACTTTCCTTAACATTGCTTTTTAGTGGTTTTTAAATTTATTTAGCTGTTTTCAAGACAGTCTCGTTGTTAATTCAGATAAATCTAAACAGAACTTTATCCAGTAGCCAAGCAGGTCAAATAGATATTATCCCGGCTCTTCCCCACCCCAATAAAGAGGAAAAGAAACTGATGCTCAGAGGGAGAAATGGCTCATGGTCACCCACATGGTAATAAATAGGTCAGAATTGGGACTCACCTTATTCTGCTCTCAAGTCTAATTTCCTCGTGTTTTAAAACAGTACACGATCACTACCGACCAGAAATTTTTTTATAACGTTTAAACATTTTTTAACTATAGTGTGCTCAGGTGAGCTTTTGACCCCTGACACTCCAGGTACCTTGCGTCGTTCATGTAACGTCATACCTAGGCTGTTGCGTTATTCAGATTGGTTGTGATGAATTTTAACTGAGCCACTTTTTAAAGCGGGGCTTTCATTCTTCTGTGGTGTACCCCACCAGGATCACACCAGGGTGGGTGCAGACACCTCTCAGGATATCCAGCTCTTCGGGATAGGGATTCAGCCTGAGCACTGTGAGATCGATATCGCCTCCGACGGAGAGGTCACTCTTACTCCGAAAGAAAATGCAAGGTGAGAAGTAATGATGACCGCTTTCCTGGGGCCTGCTTTCAGGGGAAGGCCACCTCTTTCTTTTATCAGAACTCAGGATGCCTGAATCCTCAGGCTCTGCTCTCCGTCTGTGGAAATTGGCACAGTATCATTGAAGAGCACCAGGTCTGTCATGGTCAAAAACCCCTGGTCACCAGAGTTGAAATATTCCTATGAAGGGGGTTCTTTGCATGTGTGAACTCCAGTTCTGCTTATTTCACTTTGAGCTTTAGAAGTCTAGAAAGAACAGGACTCAAACGATGAGATTATATGTGAGAAGTAACTTATTGGAAAACTCAAAATAATGTCCATTATTTTCCTTCATCAGACTTTACTTGACAGCCCTTAACAGACTGGTCTTTAATTATTTATCCCTTCCTCCAAGGTTTTTAAATCACCAGGAAAACTTTTTGTTTTGAGCTGTTCCTTTAATACACATTTTAAGGGTTTTTTTTTTTTTTTTAATATTTGTTTTTTATTTGTAGTTGGACACAATACCTTTATTTTATTTATTTTTATGTGGTGCTGAGGTTCGAACTCAGGGCCTCACACTTGCTAGGCGAGTGCTCTACCACTGAGCCACAACTCCAGCCCCTCACATTTTTGGTTTTTGCAAGTGTTGGCCGAATATTCCATCAGCTACGCTTCCGTCTTGGTTGGGAGCACGCCGCGTGAGACTCTCACTCTCCGGGGGATGCTGGCAGCCCTAGGTCTTCATTACTGGATTGTGCTTTTCTACAACAAATTCTCTGGTTCCTTCTTCCCTTGTTACTTGGAATACACTTTCTAAGACAGTTCCCCCAGTTATCTCTCTTGAGTACTGCCCTGGGTTTCGTTCTCTTCTCTGCTCCCCTGACCTTGTCCTTCTGCCCCTTCAGGTCCTGTGTGAACGGTGCTCTTGTGTGCAGTGCCACCCAGCTGTGGCACGGTGACAGAATCCTGTGGGGAAATAACCACTTTTTTAGGTAACATCTTCCTGTTCTCTAGTATTTTCAGATTCACGTTTTCTGTTATCCATTTAAGTATCCAAGGAGTTGACTTTCTCCAACGGTGAAAACCCCACAGGATCAACTTACCGAAGAGGAAGCGGCGAGATTGGTTGAAAGACTTCGAGAAGGAGACGAGCCCGGCAGAGCATGACCTGGACGCCGCCAGCGAGGCTTCCTCGGAGCCCGACTACAACTACGAGTTCGCCCAGATGGAGGTCATCATGAAAACCCTCAACAGCAACGGTGAGGCCCGACTCCAGCCTCCTGGGCACGGCCTTCCCTCGGGGGTTCTGGGAGGAGTCGGGAAGTGGGAAGTGTGGTTCTCAAATTTAGACACACAAAATTGCTAGTCCTGACACGTGAGGCCGGCCGTGGTGCGCAGGTTTGGGGATGGTCTTCTGCCTCAGGTAGAACCAGAAAGCCAGCAGGCGCTTTTTTGAGACCCCTTGTTCCCGAGCAGACCGAGATGACGTCCCCTGGTCGTCAGGTACTTACTAAATGACTTCAGCAGCTTTTCTTATCAAAATCGCCCGAGACTGAGACTTTCACTCTGAATTCACAAGAGTGCGAAAATTCCCAAGAAAACGTTGGGAATCCAGGAGTTTTTAATAGGATCCAATGGGGAGATAGAAGTTATAGCCTTTTACCATAAACTCAGTTGAAAACCATAAGTCCCCAAAAGACTTATTTGATAAATAAGCCCAAGTAACCTCATTACAAATGAGAGTGAAAATGAAGCGTTTTATGGGTCCTGTAGACCTGCGCCCCCGTCTGCCTCGGATCTCTGAAGAAGGCTCTCTCCTGGCAGCAGTATTGCCAGGTCCCTCTTTCCAGAAGGTTTTCAATGTTCCTGTAAAGTTCCTCCTCTGTGTCCCGAGGGACAGATTCCTTTTCTCTCTCCCTCTGTGTTTGTACACACCTGTGTGTGTTTAGTAAACCACTGCAGTTGGCTTTCCTTGCCTGCTGATTTACTGCCCCTTCTTCCTGTCCCCAGTTTTCCAGTCCCCAGATGTGGGGCCTGGGACACCAGAAAGGACAGTTTCCCTGTTGTCTGGCGTCAGAGGCACTGCAGGGACTAGAACTGTCTCCAAGCAGGAGCTCAGGGCTATACTCAGGAGCACCCGAGAAGGTCCTTTGTGGGTGTGGCCAAGCTCACTCTCCCACTCGCCTCTTCCTGGGGCGCCTGAGGACCCCAGCTTGAGCCAGGGACCTCCAGGACCCTGACACAGGCAGCCCGTACCCGACAGGACCCTGGGCAGCCCTGTTATTCACAGTGGAGCTCTTCCCTGAGAGAGTGACTTTCTCACTCCCGCTTGGAAGAAGCCTCCGGAGGAGGTTGGCATGGCTGGACCTCTGGCATATGGAATTGGGGGTTCTGCATATAGAATTGGGGGTGCATCAAATAAAGAGAGAGGAATAAAAAAGCCACAGTCTTTATTCCAGTGTCCAGATCCACTGGTCAGTGGCACTTGCCTCCAGGGCACACCAGCACACCCTGGTGCACGTACCACAGGGCTGGTGGCCCCATGGCATTCACCGCATTCTGCTCTGCTGCTAGGTGGCTTCCCGATGGTAAGCCTGTCTGCCTGGTGGTCATCCCCCTGGTGGTCCTATTTGAAGATTCTCTTCCCTCTCGTGTGGTTCCAGACGAAGCTCCTCCACAAACAGTGGGACAGAGGTTCTTAGCCGGTTGGCCTCAGCATGCGGGGCTTGGCTGCTGTTCCGCAGGGCTGCTGTCTGGTGCTTGTGCTGCGGCTTTGGCCAAATCTGATTGACATCAGCAAGAAGCTGGAGCTTTCTGCCTGACAGAGGTGCTCTGTGTTCTCTCTCCCTGCCCCCTCAGTGGTTTAGGGGATCAAGCCTAGGGCCTGTCCCATGCTAGGCAAGCACTCTACCTCTGAGCTCTATATCCCCAGCCCCTTTTAAAGTTTTTACTTGGAGACAAGAGGCTCACTAAATTGCTGAGTCTGGCCTTGAACCTGCCTCAGTCTCCTGAGCTGCTGGGATCATGGGTGCCCCCCACCAGGACTGGCTATGTACTCTGTTCTTTACCGGAAAATGTTCTTTTCAGTTATGTCCTGCCCCACTGCCTCATCAGTGGTTAAAGTTCCATGACACTCTTGTCCCCATGTCCAGGAGCACAGACAAGGGTGACTGTGGTGCTTCCAAAAGTGCACTCCCCTCCATTATCCTGGTGATACAGGAGAGTAAGGTGTCTGGTTCTCCAGAGGAAAAACTGATCTGAAACCCAGTCCTTTAGAGTTTAAAGTAAAAGGAAAATCTAATACCCATCAACAATGGTGCCTTCTTCCCAAGGGTTCCAATAGGAATTAAACACTCATCTCATGCATGGATTTGGATTAACGGCAGCCCCATCCCCTGGCCTCTCATGGTGTCCCATGCCAGAGCATACTGTGGCTCTGAACCTGGCCTCTGTGCCTGTAGGCTCCTGGCACAGAAGCGAGTTGCACAGTAGGACAAAAAAACAAAAAATACCTTTTCCTAATTTCTAGCTAGTTCTAAAGTAAAGAACTGTTAAGGGGCCAGCAGAGGTCAGGAGCCAATCATTCCACCTAAGACTCAAAGGTTTCACTTTTCTATAGGGTTACTCCCCTCCCATCCAGTGCTCTGACCATGTTGGTGCAAGTTAATTCTAATACTTTTTCTTATGTGAATACCTTTCTGCCAATACCACTGCCGCCATCATCCTCTCTTCCATTCTCTGCAGGATTGATTGGTCTGAGCTCATTTTGTATTACCTACCAGGGAAATCACAAACTAGTGAGGAAGACCAATCACTGTGGTCCTTCTCTCTTCCTCAAAGACTTAACTCTCTGGTATCTTGGCCTGAGGCATTAGGCTCGCTGAATTTTGAAACAGTTCATTCAAGAGCCGCCGAGAGAGGGCTCAGTGGCAGAGTGCTTGCCCAGCGTGCATGGGACACTGGGTGACAACTCCACCATCACAGAGAAAATTATAAAGGAGGAAAGTGATGGGAAAACAAACTGGATAATCTTCTAATATTCAATCCAGTCACTGGAGAACAGGCCACATGGTCTTTGGCTTCTGTTCGGGGCCATATCATAGAGTCGATGGCCTTGTTGGTCAAGATGATTGACATAAGAAGGTACAGAATTGTGGCAGAGGTTTGATACTGGTCGCTTTGGGGAGAGGGAGTTATCACAAATGTCCGCGAGAAAGGGGTTTCCAAGATGGTATTGGCCTCAGAGATAAAATAAAAGCCCTTCCCTAGGGCAAGGCCTCTAAGGCCAGCCACTGAGGCTCAGAGGGAGGAGTGCAGAGTCGTGTGGCCCCTGAGCAGCAGGTGTGCCAAGTCATGGCAACTGTTGACAGTTCAAACCTCACTCATTGGCCTTTGCCTTGGCAAGAAACCTGGGTGGAGATCCCTCTGCCTCAGCCATTTGGGATCATGCCTGTTTCTCTACTACTGACCAATGAGTGGAAATACGCACTAAATATCTCATTCAGCCTCTCTTAGTGAAAACCCTAATAGTGCAATTTCTCTATGAAACTATTCTGCTTCTTAAGAAGGTGGTGAATTTTACGTCAGGAAAGAATGGTATATATTTCTTTCTCTTTTTCAAGAGTGTGCTTTTTAACAGAGTGCTTGATAAGACCTTTTATTTACCAAGTTAATACCCAGCCAATCAGCCAGTTAGTTCCCTGAACTTCAAACCTGTCTCTATCAGTTATTAGCTCTGTGATGTTAGGTAGCTACTTAAACTTTGTGAGTCCCAACTTCTTCATCTTTAAATCAGGATGAAGTCCACCTGAGGGCTTTTGTAAGGTTTTCAAGAGATGGCCGCATGCTGGGCAAAAGTCCTCTGCTTGAGATGTAGCTGGTAGAGTTAATTTTGCCACTGTGTTTCATTAAAACAACTCACCATACTGAGTGTATCTTGTGACTTTAAAAAAATCGCTTCTTTCTGTTTTGTATTACTTAACCTCATTTTTTAAAGTCAGCATGTTACCTTTTCTCCTAACGCTAATATAAAAAATTGGTACAATTTACGTATTTATTTCACAACCTGATGGAGTATTTTGGAAAAGTCAGTCAGTGCCATAATCAGATGATACAAATCTCCCTCTGCATCACTTTAGTTTCCAGCTTCTTTCTGGTAAATTGAACTGAGAACTAAAGTGTGGTATTCAACACAGTGCGCTGAATACAGACCAGTGCATAGATGCACAGGGGGAATGACATTCCAGGCAGGTCTAGAAGTGATCTCCTCTTGCTCCCGTGTCCTTTCCGGAGGCGCTCACCACAGTGGTGAGGGTCTTGCTGTCCCACGAGGTGGTCTGGCACACTCCCCTGTAGGCCACTCTGCCCCCATGGGATGCCTGTACCTTGGTGCTTGTGGTCAGCGCCTTCATCTGTCTCCCTGGCACCCAGCTCCTTGGTCATTGCCTGCTCATGTCCTGCCCGGCCAGTCATCTCATTGGGCTCAAGTCCTACCTGTACCACAGCCACCACTAGTCATCACATGGCCCCTTTGAGCAATCCGTCCGTGTGTCTACCCCTGTGCACACGTGTGTCGTGGGAGCTCAGACCTGGATCAGCAAGATGGCTGGTGCAGGTTTTGTTAGCTTTGCAAATTAATGACCGTATTAGCTATTGCCACCTCAGAAACGGCCAGACCATATGCTCAGTCCATATTTTCAAACATATGCTGTGATTTTTCGGTTTCCTCTCCTCTTAGAGAAATTCAAGAGTACTGAGGTATGTAGTAGAAATCATAAACCCTTTGACATGCCCACGTCGAAGTTAGAGGTGCCTAGAAACCAAGTCAGCAAAGATCCCATTGTCCGTGGCGCTGTCCTGGGTTTCACGACGTTCTTCTCAAGGGTGAGGATCACATCCCGTCTCCTCCCCCACCTGCTGGGAGGAGATGGGTGATCTGTCCAAACATGAAGGCAGTCACGGGGTGGGTGTGAAGAATGTCATCCAAAATGCTATCACAAAAGGAAACGGAGAGGAGTTGACCTGTGAGCCCCCAGAAGGGGACTGTGGGCGAGGACCTGGGCGGGTGACGGCTCTTGCCTCAGCCTCCACTCAAGACACTTGCTTGTCTCTTGACTCCCCAGACCCAGTTCAAAACGTGGTGCAGGTCTTGGAGAAGCAGTACCTAGAAGAGAAGAGAAGCGCCCTGGAGGAGCAGCGGCTCATGTACGAGCGGGAGCTGGAGCAACTGCGCCAACAGCTCTCCCCTGAGCGGCAGCCCCCGAGCGGCGGCCCCGACCGCCTGTCCTACAGCAGCCAGACAGCCCAGCAGAAGGTGACCCAGTGGGCAGAGGAGAGGTAAGAGCTGGCGGGCGGGCGGGCGGCCCGGGGCCAGGCGCCAGGGGCTCGTGAGGCCCGTCCAAGGGGCACAAGTCTCGCAGAGAGGAAACGAGTTTCCCCATGTCTAGTTTGCTGGGCAGTGGCTTTTCCTTTCAGAGACACCGTCCACCCCAGATGTGTCAGGTGTGTGGGCCGCAGCACGCCCTGAGAACGACCCCACACTTTACCCTTCCGAACAAGGAGCCAGCGCAGAAGGCCCACGCTGCTCAGTGTTGAAAGAGGACGAGTTGGAATAAGTCTTTAACAAAACGCAGATTCTTCTTTTTTATTTCTTTTACTTTTAGTTCTATTCAAATTTAACTTCAAGGGAGAGGAACTTTGGGTTCTATTCAAATGTAACTTCGGGGTAGAGAAATCTAAATGTGAATTTCCAAGGCATAAGACTTAAAATGATTATATCAGACCTCTCAAAGGAGGCAGTGGTGGAAGAAATGATAATAATATCGGCCACCACAGTGGACAGTAAATTGACACTGAATTCCGTTGTGTTCACACCACAATCTAGGCATGGTGCTAATTTTACTCAACATTCCCAACAGCACTGTGCATAGGAACTATTATTCCTGCCCTTTTTTTCTTTTTTTTTTTTTTTACCAGAAATTGAACACTGGTACTTTTTCACAGAGCCACATTCCTAGTCCTTCTTATTTTTTAATTTAGAGACAGGGTCTTGCTAAGTTGCTTAGGGCCTTGCTAGATTGATGAAGCTGACCTCAAACTTAAGATCCTCCTGCCTCAGCCTCCTGTGCCTCTGGGATTATAGGCATGTGCCACCACACCCAGCTTATTCCTGCTTTATAAACTCCCACCACCCAGTAAGTAGAAAAGCCTGAGCTTAAATCCAGGTCTGTCTACAGTCCTGGACGAACCCTGTGTTATAATTAACAACAGAGGTTGTGCCTGACATTTGCAGAGTATTTACTGTGCTCTGGGCACCAAGTGCTCTACCTTCCCTCCTGTCGTCGTCACCTGCCATTGTCTTTGGCTGTGCTCACTCTCTTACACAGGAGGAAACTGAGGCTCGGGCTTGCCCAAGGTCATTTAGCTGGTAAACTGAGCCGTGGGGTCGGAGCCAGGGCAGTCTGACTCGGGAGTCTCCACTCTGGCCCACACATTCCACATCCCTCCCTGGTAGTGACAGGCTGGACAGGAGCCCCCTCCAGGGAGCTGGGCCCAGAGAAGGGGAGCACGCCCTGCACCGCGTCTCCGGGTGCTCTGGTGCTGGGCTGTGCGAAGCCAGGAGAAAGGAGTCGGTTGCATCTTCCCAGGGGCTGCTGACTCATTTGTCCCGATGCCCGGCTGTGAAGGCTCATCAAGCGTCTCCATGTTACTCTTTATTTTCCTGTCCCTGGGAGAAGCTGACAAAAGTGACCCAGTGCCGCTTTCCCAAGAGCCACCTTTCCCACATCTACTGTGAGCTGGTAGCCAGCTTTTGAAGGTTTGGGTGTAATTATACCCACCGATGCCCTTTCTGTTCAGTCAAGAATATCAAAGACAAGAAAGGTACCTGATAGAGAAAGTGGATTTGCCTTTGATCATAGCATCTTTCAGTTAATTATCTAAATTTTTTCACTACCCTGAATTTTTTTTTTCCCTTCAGAGTAACAGGCCTGAGTTTATTAGAAGGGATAAGAAAGGGAAGGGGGAGACTCTGGAGGGAGAGAGTGGGTCTTCTTGGAGGCAAGAGGCCCTGGGACTTAGATTCTTAAGACTGGAGAAGCAGATATCTGGGGAATGTCACTCAGAATGATAAGCAGGGCTGCCGTCTCACTTTCATGAGGTTTCACCAGGTGAAGAAGTGTGGCTGGTGGTGAGAGGCTGAGCCTCCCGCCAGCATCCATGTGTGTTCAAGTGTGTTCCAGAGCTGCATAGAGCTGCAGAGAAAGGAGAAAGCTTCAGATGTGGTGTGTGCTCTCTGTACACGTGGGATGTAATGTGGAGCCAGACAGAGTGATGCGAAAACTTGAATCATAACTGGAGGCTACAGAACGGTTTCATTCCACAGTAGGAAAGACAGTGACTTGATATTTATTTATTTATTTGCTTTCTGTCTTCTCCACTGCAAAATGCGTCCTGCGGGCAGGGAATCTGTTCTGTTCATGGAAGTGTCTCTAGGGCGTAGAACCATGTCCCTTGGTAGGGAACGAGTAGATACTGTTTGTGTTGGTCGTGTGAGTTTGTTGACGTGGCTAGGAAGTGTGTGGTCACCCTGTGGGCAAGGGCATGGTAAGGGTGATGGTCCTTTAGTGGAGGATGAGACCCCAGCCATGTGGAGTCTTCTGCAGAGATTTTCATGGAGAAAGCAAGATTTCAAGTGAGTTTGGAACATGGAGTTTGAACAGGTAGAAAGCAGAGAAGGGCATTTCTTTTTTCTTCCTCATCCCCCTCTCTTATTTTCTTTCCTTCTTTCTTTCTTTTTTTTTAAGCAGTGGGAGGCTCTGGGTTCAATCCCCATGCTAAGCATTCCACTCTCACTATAGCCCCTGTCCCAGTCGGAGGTCCCTGGGCAGGTGTGGGTTAGCATGAACAGACAGAAAGCAATGGAGATGTTTGGGGAAGGCTGCGCTGTTTTGTTTAGTCTAGATGGTGATTTATAGAGAAGCATGAAGAATTAATTCTAAAACTATTACAACCTGTGGGAGACCTACAGACGTGAGTGTCTGGGATCTATGCCCTGGGAGAAGAGCATCCCTGCTAGATTTTGAGCCAGAGAGTGGCCTGGCAGAGGCAGGAGAGTGCCCTGTAGAGAAGGGGCCTGAAGAAGTGGAGAGGGGCTTAGGAATGCTTCAGAGAAGCATCAACAGGGCTCGGGACGTTGTGGGAAAGAGAAGAGACCAAGCTTACCGCGAGAGCCAGGGTGGGCGCCTGGAAATGGACATGCCCTTCTGGAACCATCCTAGGGGTGTGCGCACTCTCCAGTGTGCCTCCTGTGTCGCCTGCCAGGGGGCGAGAAAGGAGCAGGACTGTGTGTTCTGAGCTCATCTTCTCCCAGGAGGGATGGGACATGTGAAGGGTAGAAAAGAAGCCCTCCACGCTGGGCACAGAGCAGTCGTGCATCTGGGTTATCTTTGAACCCAGATTCAAAAGTGAAATCCAGGAGTGCGTATTTCTTCCATGCAGTGGGTCTTTTTAAGTGTCTTCTGCTGGGCCATACACTTGGCCAGGAACTAAGTGTAGCGGAAACAAAAAGGACATCATCCCTGCCCGAGGGGCGCTTACAGCCTAATCAAGTAGTTATGCAGGTAAATGAAAAGTCCTAACTGTGACAGATGTGGAGCTGTGAGAGCCATGTCATGAGGTTTTGACCGAATCAGGTGTTAGAGAAGCCTTTTATCACCAAGTGCTATTGTGTATAGTTAAAAAGAATCCCCGCTGCTGCAGAGAGGGTGACCTTCACCAGCTGAAGAAATCCTCAGTTTCTTTCTTCTTCTAACTCTAGGTCTCTCACCTCCCAACCCAACACCCCCTGCCTCTGCCAGCCTGTAGCACACAAAAGTCATAACCATCATTTCTTTTTCTTTACTTTAAAAAAAAAATTAAATCCTCATGTCAAAATCTGGTAGTTTTTTAAACATAACTTTCATTTTTTTTGCTGCTATGGGTTGAACCCAGGACCTTACTCACTCCTGCTAAGCAAACGCTCAACCACTGAGTGACCACCCGGCCCCCAAACCTGGGTTTTGCTTCTGTACCCCTGCAGCTTTGACCCCAGCAGTGATTCCAGGAGATAACCCAGGCATGGGCTAGAGGGGTCAGAGGGGACTTGGTAAAATAGGTTGGAAAATTTTGTCTGAAAGGAGTTTTCTGCCATTTTCTAATGAGTCCACTCACTTACAAACAGGTTTACGGTTTTTTTAGATGAGCTCATTTCCTTTTCTGTGACCCCACAGGGATGAACTCTTCCGGCAGAGCCTGGCCAAACTACGAGAGCAGCTAGTCAAAGCTAATACCCTGGTGCGGGAAGCAAACTTCTTAGCTGAAGAAATGAGCAAACTCACTGATTACCAAGTGACTCTCCAGATCCCTGCTGCAAACCTCAGTGCCAACAGAAAGGTAAGGATGTCCCGAAAGAAGGAGAGTGGGTCATACAGTGGTCAGCAGCACCGTCAGCTGAAATCCGCAGATCACCTTCGGGAGATCCTGATGTGACCCAAGGTGTTCATTCCTTTTTAAGCCTTCCTTTGTACCCCTCTCCAGGTAAGAATGCTCCTTAAACAAACCCTTTAGATATGCTCTAAGCAGGATATGCAGGGTTTGGGCGGCTGAAGGAATTGCTAATTTAAATACTTTCCTACTGACAGAAGCATATGTAAGTGATCATCCTGCATTCCCCTTGTACAGAAACGTCCCCTCCTGAAATGGGGGCCATCTGTATTTTGTTACAATACCTTTTAAAGAGTGAATCCTAGGAGGAAGGGAGGTTTCCTGTCATTTCAACTTGGAGAATTCTTCCTGTAAGGGGAAACTGGGAAGAAAACAGCCCTTTATCCATTCGTTTTCAATCCAGGAAGGTAGTGAGGAAGGGAGTCAGGGAGCACCTCATCAGACTTGCGAGGTTGTAGTTTTTTGACCCAGTAGTTCTGAGTACATAGGCCTAGAAGGTATGTAGTTTTATGTCTTTCGTATACACGGTTGCTGTCTCGGTGGCCTTTGTAGTAGTGAAAACTTGAAACAGCCTTGATGTTCAACAACAGAATGATCAGTCATATGTGTGGTAAGTCCAAATGGTGGTCTCCTATGTTGCCATAAAAAAACCACGTTTGTGAAGAATATTAAGAAAATAATAACAATGTAAAAAACTAGTGAGAGAATTGGGATATGATACATTTTGTTTGATCCTGGTTATGATAAAAATGAAAAGTATAGCCAGGTATGGTTGCACACACCTGTAATCCCAGTGACTAGAGAAGCCTGAGGCAGGAAGATTGCAAGTTCAAGGCCAGCCTGAGAAACTTAATGAATTGCTAGGTAACTTAGCAAGACCCTGTCTCAAAATGAAAAAATAAAAAGAGCTGGGAATGTGGCTCATGGTTGACCACCCCGGGGTTCAATCCCCAGTTCCAGATAAATAACAAAAAGATACAGTGTGTGCATGGGTGGGCATAGAAGATAGAAAATAATGCAGTATTTCCTAGGTACGAGAATGTTAGCTTTTTAAAACAAATTTTTTTATTTGTTTAAATTAGTTATACATGACAGTAAAAATGTACTTTGATATATCATATGTAATGGAGTATAATTTCTTCTGGTTATACATGTAGAATCCCACCAGTCATGTAGTTATATAGTCCACTGTCCTTCCTACCACCATATTCCCTCACCTCCCCACACTCCCTCTACCTAATCTAAAGTAACTCTATTTTTCCCACCGCACCCACCCCAATTGTGAATTAGCATCCTCATAGCAGAGAAAACATGGGGCTTTTGATTTTGGAAGATTGGCTTATTTCGTTTAGCATGATGAGAATATTATCTTTTTTATATTCGTTTTATGTGTTCTGCAAACTCTTTACTTTAGTGTGAGTGTGTGTGTATGTATAGGATTTAACAATTTTAAAAAGCTGCAATGTTCATTTTGTTGGTTTTCTTCGTCCTGCAGAGAGGTGCGATAGTGAGTGAGCCTGCTATTCAGGTGAGGAGAAAGGGGAAGAGCACCCAGGTTTGGACCATTGAGAAGCTGGAGAACAAGTTAATTGACATGAGAGACCTCTATCAAGAATGGAAGGAGAATGTCCCTGAGGTAAAAGGACAACACGTAAAGGAAATTGGGTCACATCAAATGCCAAGGCCACAGATGACGTCACCACCAGAAACCCACATGAGTGCACCCATGCACATACATGTGCTCACAAGCACACATGCATGCACACCCATGACACTAGAGAAAAACAGAAAAGTGATTTTGAAAGAGTTTTAGTAGCAGCAGTAGCATAGCGGGATGGGCACCGTCTCATTTCAAGTCACATGAACGGGACGGAGGTGGACCTGTGCTGTCTTGTCAGTGTCCTGAAAATCGGTTTGTCTAGAGGCAGCACGGGTTTTGCATTCATCGTGTGTGCATGTGCCCCTAGGGGTGGCCTTGGCTGGGTGGGCTTGGAAGAGTGACTCCATTGTTTTGGAGGTTAGTAGTAGAAGAGAAGGTGTGGCAAAGACCACAGGCAAAGCAGAGGTGTGGGGTGGAGAAACTGCAGGCGGCTGTGACGGAGAAGATGAGGCAGCAGCTGAGAATCCTCCATGCGGTTCCTTAGTTCCCAACAAGGAAGCCCATCTTACATGCTGATTCTGTTGTATGACGTGAACACGATTCTTCTTTTACTTATTTGTTTCCACCAAAACTTCCTTAAAGCATGATTTTTTTCTAATGCTGTTTTTAAATAATACAAAGCTGATGTCTTGTCTCCTGCCCACCCACCGCCTGCCCTCCCTACTGCTCAGGCCAAGAGGCTCTACGGGAAGCGAGGGGACCCTTTTTACGAAGCCCAGGAGAACCACAACCTGATTGGTGTGGCCAATGTGTTCCTGGAGTGCCTGTTCTGTGACGTGAAGCTTCAGTACGCAGTTCCCATCATCAGCCAGCAGGGGGAGGTAAGGGCAGGTCGCCTCAAAATAGAGGTCTGAATTCTTTTAAAGCCATCTTGAGGTAGATAAAGAAACCAGGGCAGACGGTCACGATCTGCCTACTCTTTTCTCGGCTAATCGCTGGTACTAGTAGAAACTCTCAAGATTACGTCATGGTCTTAAAAGGTAATATAACACAGATGATGTTTGTAGTTCACAGTGTGTGTGTGTGTGTGTATGTGTGTTTATGTGTGTGTATGTGTGTTTAACTAGAGATCTTTTGACAACAAGATTCAGTTCCATGCCCCATATCGCTTTCCCTTTTAAAAGGCAATCTCGTATCTTTAGTTCCTTCACGGCCCCTAAATGATGTTTATAAGATGACGTAACTTGGGAGGATTATTATGAAGTCCAAAATATTCAAAATAACAAGTTTAAACAACCCATTGTTACCCCCTTGTGAATCCTCCTATTTCAGTTATGTAGATACATTTTGGAAAATGTTGAAGTTCAAACCTTTTCTTTTTTAAAATCATTTCATCAGCTGATGTTTTTATTTACAGCTTAGTAATGCCCTTACTTCCTAGCTTGTCCTTTATAACTTATAAAAGTACCAAGTTGTGTGTGACCAAGAGCAGCCTGGGGATAAGATGCCGTTCTCCCCAGAGCAATGCTGGGAAATAGACCCGAGTGCCCTGGTGGGATGCAGGTCCACGGCCCACGTCTGTGTGTAGTAACCCCCCACCTATTCTGCTCTGGACCAGTAGCCAGAGTTGCTTTTTCCCATATTAAAAAATGCATAGCCCATCCAGGCATGGTGGTACACACCTGTCATCTCAGCTGCTTGGAAGTGGAGGAGGGAGGATTGAGAGTTCAAAGAGCCTCAGCAAATGGGAGGCACTAAGCAATTTAGAGAGACCCTGTCTAAAAATAAAAAATTAAAAGTGCTGGAGATGTGGCTCAGTTATTAAGTACCCCTGCGTTCAATCCCTTGTATGGGGGAAAAAAAAAGCCATAGCTCTCCGGACACAGTGGCTCATGCCTATAATCCCAGAGGCTCGAGAGTCTGAGGCAGGAAGGTGGCAGGTTCAAAGTCAGCCTCAGTAACATGGTAAGAAACTGTCTCAAAATTAAAAATAAAAAGGTTAGGATGTAGCCCAGTGTAGAATAGCCCTGGGCTCCCACCCCAGTACCCCACCCCACCCCAAAATTATACAGCTCATGTGGTAAAGGAATCTAATGGCTGAGACCCTTGCTCAGGGGTTCTTAAATTGGGGTCTGAGGTAGGCTGTGATACTTCATGAATCCCCCTGAAATTACATTACAAATGTTTTAGATTCTCAAAAAAAAAAAAAAAAATCAAAGAATACAATCTGACCCACTATCTTCTGGCTGATTTATCACATTTCCTGTCTCCTCCTCCTTACCACTTCTGTTTGTCAAATACCATCAATTAGCTTCTCTCAGATTCTTGGTGCCAGCTGCCGTGTTGAAGTCGAGTCTGAGCCACCTTTCCAAATAACCCTCCCTGCCCAGGTGGCAGCACGGAGGACGTGGCCCCCTCCTGGGCAGTCCTTCTGACCTGACCTGTGCGCTGGAGGGTGACTGGCTGCAGAAGGGCGCTGAGAACACCCCTTGAGCATCCTCCTTGTGCTCTAGTTCAGTTCCCTACGAGCGACTTCAGGAGGAACGCTGTTGAACCGGCCCCTATCCAAGAACTACCACCACATGGGGAATGAAAAACAGCTGTAAAAGAGCTGGTTCTTATATCTGCGTGGCTTTCTTCAGGCCGTTCTTCCCGACACAGGTGTGTCTGGGATCAGCACCCCTCAGGCCAGTCTGAGCTGCACAGTTCTGTGCTCCATGAGTGTGGGAGCCACGTCTCTTTGGTTTACGGCTGTGAGCACGGCTTAGCACCTTCCCTGGCACCACCCATCCTTAGTGAATACTTGCTGAGTCCATAAATGAACATTTTTACCCTCTGTCTGTGTATTCTTATTGGGTTTTGACTTCTCACTGTCTCTTCCCACGTGACTGGGAGTTCCCTCCTGGCAGGGCCTGTATCTCTATCTTGGTGTCCCATGAGCCTAGGTGTTTGAAATAAATAAGTTCATGAAGCATTTGGTCAAATAAATGCCTGCACGAATGACGTGGGGCATAGAGAGTTCCAGGTAGAACGTGAAAGCTGCCGTCCAGTTGTTCCTGGGTTGACCTGGAGTAAAAAGGTAAGACCGAGAATGTTTCCAGAAGGCAAGTCGCGAGGAGGCAAATTTAGCTCAAAGTAAGGCAGGACTGTTGCAGGTGCCGGGCTCTGGGCATGGTGGGTTTTACCATCGCTGGGAAAATGGCCAGGTGGGGGCCGCAGAGATGCTCCCGGGCGTTTGTAGGTGGGTTTCTGAGTCATGTCAGTGAGCCGGTGGCAAGCTTTGTAACTTCCTGGTGCTGTCCCCTGGCCCAGGTTGCAGGGCGTCTGCATGTGGAGGTAATGCGGGTGACGGGGGCTGTTCCCGAGCGCGTGGTGGAGGATGACTCTTCAGAGAACTCGAGCGAAAGCGGGAGCCTGGAAGTCGTGGATGGCAGCGGAGAGATCATTCACCGCGTCAAGAAGCTGACGTGCCGGGTGAGCCGGGCAGCCCAGGAGGTTGCACATAGATGACCTTTGGGGTGCAGGCAAAGGGTCAAGAAGTTTATGAGAATTTTTCACCCAGAGTCATAAAGTTTAAATTGTCTGAAAACAGATGGAACCATGGGCGGCATCTTCTCCAGAAGCATAGCACACTTTCTGAAGACAGTTGGATAAAATTCCAAAAGCACACGTATTCCTCCCTCACTACCCCTGGGGAATTGGTTCCAGGACACACTACAGATACCAAAGTCCACTCAGGCTCCAGCTCCTTATCTACCACGGGGGAGGATTTGCATATAATCTGTGCACCCTCACAGACTTTAATCTCTGGATCACATATACTGAGTAATACAGCAAAATGCTACATAAGGACCTATTCTACTGTGTTGTTTAGGAAATGACGACAAGAAAAGAAATCTACAAGGGTTCTGCACAGGCATGATATTTTTCTAAACATTTTCAGTCCTCTGTCAGGTTAGCCCACAGGTGTGGTAGGCTCACCTGTGTTGGGCACGTGAGGAGTGTGTGCTGCTTAGTGAGTCAGATCACATCTGTATCAGAAACTTGGTCAGTAGGAAGGTTTGCAGGGATGTGTGTACTTGTTACCAGGTTTTCCACTGTAGATAGAGAACTCTGGTACAGATTTCATTATACATAAAACCTTTAATGAAATGCATCAAATGTTCTCAGATGACAAATGGAAGACTGCTTCATTCCATCACCTTCTCTTTACTTGGAGACAATATAGTGTGCGACTTAATGTTCCCTTTATAGGAGTTATATTTGCATCTTTTAATCTCCTCAGGTCAAAATCAAAGAGGCAACTGGGTTGCCCTTAAGCCTGTCCAATTTCGTCTTCTGTCAGTACACGTTCTGGGACCAGTGTGAGTCTGCCGTGGCTGCCCCGGTGGTGGACCCCGATGTGCCCTCCCCACAGTCCAAGGATGCCCAGTACACAGTGACCTTCTCTCACTGTAAGGTACAGATGCCACTGCAAAGTGAGCTCCAGGGCTGGGCGTGACTTGGAGCTAGAGCCCGCGCTGTACACCTGTACACTGTATGCGTCCCAGGCCCTAGGGTCAGCGTCGAGCACTGCAGAAAAACAAAGCAATGAAGCAAACTGTGTCGGGGCAGTGGAGTCAGGTGCAGCTGTAAAATCCAATCATAACTTCCAAGGTTTCCCCATAAGAGTTTTCATTAAATGTAACATCTTATTGGACTTTTTAACCTCAAAATCAACTTTTACAAATTTGAATAATTTAGAAATATTTAAAACAAAATCTGAAAGACTTCAACTTGCAGTCTTACTCTACAGACTTTTGACCACTAGTAGCAGTTTTCTATACTTGATTTTTTTGGGTTTTTTTATTTGTTGGTTTTTTGAGCCAGGGTCTCACTGTGTTGCCCATGCCAGCCGTGAACTCCTGGGCTCAAGAGATCCTCCTGCATCAGCCTCCCGAGTAGCTAGGACTGCAGATGTATGCCACTGCACCTTGCAATGTATTTTAGTAGAATATTTTCTATGCCTTGCAACTCTCGTATGTGTAGGATGAACATGTGCATATACACATAAATGGACATAGATATACACCTTTACATCATGCACATGTAATTTGGTTTAAAAATATTTTACAAAATGAGGATCACACTAGGCCCTGCAAAATTGTGAGCCTCTTGATGTGTGAGTTGTTATAGATACTTCTCATTCTTTTGGCATAATATGCTAAGCACAGCGTTCTGTGTGAATTTTTAAAGAAAATATAAAATGGAAAAGGGGAGCTCATGGTGAGTGCAGGTGACTGACCTTGGGGGAGGCACTGCCTGCTCACCTTTTATAGGGGACTGCCGGCAGTTCTTTTCTGAAAGACCAACTTTATGCTCTCTGAAATTGTCCTTTTCCTGGACAATTCTTGATAGATATTCAAGACCCTTTCTTTTTCAATTTATAATTGTGCTTGTTCTTTCCAGCTTTACACTCGGAAAACACATGCATATCACCACCTATCAAATTTCACATAGGGAAAGATTGTCAAGTCTTTTTCTAAATATAGCCTTCATGTCTTTACTGTATTTAGCAAGTCTGTTCTCCAAATATTTATCAGTCATTCTTTTGTTATTGTTCTCTGAATATTCTTTTTCTTTTGTACTAGAGATTGAACCCAGGGATGCTTCACCACTAAGCTACATCCCCAGTCCTTTTTATTTATTTATTTTTTGAGACAGAGTCTCACTAAGGTGCCCAGGTTGGCCTCTAGCTTGCAATCCTCCTGCCTCAGCCTCTCAAGTAATTAGGATTACAGGTGTGTGCATCATACACAGCCTGTTCTCTGAATATTCTTTTTTTTAATATTTATTTTTTAGTTGTGGTTGGACACGATACCTTTATTTTATTTATTCATCTTTATGTGGTGCTGAGGATCGAACCCAGGGCTTCGCACATGCTAGACGAGTGCTCTACTGCTGAGCCACAACTCCAGCCCTCTGAATATTCATTCTTTTAAATATTCCTCATGTTTCTTTGGATCTACCAAGTGGTTTCTTTAGAAGTAGAAAAGGATGATGTCTGAATTTTAGGTGCATCCTGGTGGTTAAAGACTATTTAACATAAACTATTTCCGGAGTCCTAGGTGCACTATGTAACCTTAAGTTTTTTTTTTTTTTTTCCTTCTAAAATTCTGGGTCTGTCTCCAAATAAAATGAAAACACAGTATAACTCAGTGTAACACATTGTTTCTATAAATTACAGTCACACAGTGACTCCACCTGAGAGTATCCACTTGGGATTCCTCTGAGATGCTAATGGAAAGAAAATTGGTTTTGTTCTTTTGCCTGCTGCACAATTCGGGGTGATCTGCCACATCTCTCAGCCAATTCCCTATCCATTTCCAAACCGTCATCTGTTTGTGCTTTAGAATGGGGACCCGAGGTGGCAGGGCTTAAGGGCAAGAGCGTACATAAGTCATGAAGATAACTGTAGAAAATTGAATTCCATCATTACTCTCCCAAGCCATGGTGAGGAGCAGTCCTTTGATTGAGTCCGTGCCAGCTGGAAGTCAGAGTGGCCCTGCAGAACCAAGAGGAAGAGAATGCAGATTGAGCCCTGCAAAAACCAGCTAGCAGTTTGACTTTGGATAAGTCCTTCTCTTCAGTTTCCTCACTTAGAAAAGAAAGCGGTTGAATTAAATAGCCTCACGGTTTCCTGCCAGATCCACTATTCTGTGCTTCTTTATCATTTTCCCAGAAAATAGAAGGGATGGGTTTAAGGTAGAAACAGGCTAAAATCCTCCAGCATGAATCAGTGTGCAGTTGAAGGCTAAGGGATTTCGCAGTCTGCTTATGCGTGGCTCCTGTCTTGCTCTCCTTTCTTACCCAGGACTACGTGGTGAATGTCACCGAGGAGTTCCTAGAGTTCATATCAGATGGAGCGCTGGCAATTGAGGTCTGGGGCCACCGGTGTGCTGGCAATGGCAGCTCCGTCTGGGAAGTGGACTCTCTCCACGCTAAGACAAGAACATTGCATGACAGGTGCGTCGTCAGCTGTGAGCTAGAAGCACAGGGTCACTTCATTCGTGAGTGAGAGAGAAGCCAGACGGTGACCCCTGGACTGTACTTGTCACCTTGGACAAGTTACTCAACGTCTCTGTGCCTGCTTCCTCCATTAAGTCACACACTATTGTCTCCAATTAAAGAATAATTGAAGGAGCAGCCAGGCACCAGAGAAATACAGGGGGAAGGTGGTTATTTCAACAGACCTAACTGCGACAACTGCAAAAAACGAGTTAACCTTGAGTTTACTTTACACTGGACACAAAAATTAATATGAGATAGATCCCCAGCTTTAAATGCAAAATGAAACTATAAAGCTAATGGAAGAAAGCAGGAGGGTATCTTTACAATTTTGAGTTGGTCGCAAATTCTTAGGCCACAGAAAATGCTAATCGGAGAAGAATAAATTTTTTACGTTGATCTTAATCAAAATTAAAAGCTGTGCCCATGAAGGGCTGGATTTGGCTCAGTGGTAGAGTGCTTGCCTGGCACGTGGGAGTCACTGGGTTTGAGTCTCAGCACCATATGTAAATGAATAAATAAAATAGTGGTCCACCAACAACTAAAAAAATTTTGAGAAAAAGAGCTGTGCCAATCTAAACATAAAACTATGAAAATTAATAGGTAAGCCACCATCTGGGAGAAAACTGGCAATTCCTTCTATGACCCAACAATCCCACCACTAAGTATTTAGATATTTAACCAAGAGAAATGAAAACCTATGTCCATAAACAGAGGTGTATACAAATGTTCATTTCAGCTTTATCCATAGTGGATAAAAAACTTGGGGAAGTTTCAAACAACCCAGATGTCCTTCAGTGGGTGAATTGGTAAACAAATACAATAGAGTCTTACTCAGCATTAAGGAAAGAACTATTTATATCCATTTGGATATCAAAAATCATTATATGAAACCAGAGAAGCCAGACCCAAAAGAGTCCATTGGTGTGATCTCGTTTATATGAAGTTCTGGAATTGGAAGAACTCACCTGATTGGGTGGCCTCCTACCACAGGTTCAGGGGACTGAACGGGGAGCGACAGAGTGGTGGGAGGGGTCCACAGGTGTGTGCATTTGCCCAAACTCTTCAAACTCTGTGCTGGAGCTCCGGGCGTGTCACTGAAGGTAAGTTCTGTCTCAATACATGCAAGCCATAGGAGATCACCTATGTGATGGCCGTGGCACGGTGCCCAGCACGGGGGGGCGTGCACAGTGACTGATGGCTTGCTCCGTTACTAATACTGGACGGTGACGCTGTTTCTTGTTGGGTCATTTGGCAGGTGGAATGAAGTAACTCGAAGAATAGAGATGTGGATCTCCATATTAGAACTGAATGAGTTGGGGGAATATGCCGCCGTGGAGCTTTATCAGGCTAAAGATGTCAACACGGGGGGCGTCTTCCAGCTCAGACAGGTACTAAGCGTGTTGCTCGATCCGCGTTTCCACTCTCCCACGGTTTCTGGGAATTTTCTAATAATTCATATTTCTGTTCCCCAATACTTTCCCTTCCCCTTATTCCTTCTCCTGTGCCTCCCCATCCCCATGCCTGCCACCTGTCTTCCCCCACCACCACCACACCTCTGCAGGGTCACTCCCGGAGAGTGCAAGTCACAGTGAAACCTGTTCAGCATTCAGGGACACTGCCGCTCATGGTTGAAGCCATCTTGTCGGTATCCATTGGCTGCGTAACTGCCAGGTCCACCAAACTCCAAAGAGGGCTGGACAGTTACCAGGTAAGGCACGCAGATGTGAAGTGGTATTTAACAAGGATCGGGGTAGGGGTCGTGGCTCAGTGGCAGAGTGCTTGCCCCCTATGCATAAGACCTCCCAGTTGGATCCCCAGCACTGAGGCAAAGGAATTAGATTGTACAGAAGTAAAGAAGTTAATGCTCTCTGATGAGGACCTGCTTGGGAATCTAATAGAACTTGTATCAACCACATATCTTCCCCCAATTCACATTTCCATCCCTTGCCTGTTTCCCTAGATTTAAAACACTGTGTTTGCTCATTGTTAATTAATAATAACCTATTTATAAACACACATATTAATGCTATAGTAGTTATTTACTTTAGGCAGGTTTATTTCATATCTGGCCCAAAATTTGTTGGACATTTGATGTCGCTGCCTGGCCTGATCCACTTTAATGCCATATTTGCCACCGTACTCTTTGAGAATGAACCAGTTCTTTTAAAGCTTTACTCCTTTTTTTAAATAATAAAGCTGTCCTCGTGATCATTTTTGTCCATTGAATCTCCATTTCCCAAATCTTATGCTCTCATTTAAAAATAAAAAAGATGAAAACTTTAAAGAATCGGTCTCCATGTTGCCAGGCAAACCCTCTTGAGTCATCCCCAAGAATAAGCTTTAAAGTGGGGGCTTGCCCCTGCACGGCCTGTCGGAGGGCGTGTGCTCCCGGCTCATCGTCTGTCTGGAGCCGGAGCCTGAGCCCTGCCGCCTGCGAATGCTTCATCTCCCATCTCAGACCCTTTTGGCTTCCTGGCATTTAGACAGATTTTTCTGAAAGCTCAAAATCAGAGCACAGACTGTTGGCTCTAAGAAGGGATGGCGTCACCAGACCCTGCCTTCCCTCGTCCTTCCAGCCCCGCGTGCGATGTGCTGCTCCGGGCTGGAGGGTGAGGCTCTGTGGGGTGGCTTCCCCCGACCTCCGCTGGCCTGGGCAGGGAGGTGGACTGCAGGAGCCTCATCCCAGCTCAGTCCCTCACCTGGTCGTCAGCTCCGGGGACCACTGCAGGGCTTGGTAGAGGTGAGCAGAGACCTGGGGGTCAGGAGACCAGGCTCGTCATCTCTCCAGCTCTGCCAAGTCGTCGCCTTCGCCAGATAATTTAAAACTGAGGGGTTTTTTTTCCCCCCTTGTCCCAAATGGCGAAGACAATTATTCTCTGAGGTCTGTTTCTGCAATAAAACTTTGTGGCTTAATAAATCTCAGATATTAGATGAACCATTGAGTTTGTGTGTCTTCAACTGTGACCTTACAAAACATGGATCTTCAACTGGCTGAGTGTTCCCATTTCAGGGAAATTGTAAGGATTGGTTATTTGCATGTTTTAGAATGGCTCGACCTCTTGAGTTAAAACTGACCTTTTTTTTTTTAAAATCAAAATGTGAACTCTGAACCATTAGCCTTTTCTCAGTGCTCTGTTCTCTTTTTTTTTTTTTGCAGGGGTGGGGGTGGGGTGGGGGGGGGGGGGGGTGGGTATTGGGGATTGAACTCAAGGACACCTAACCACTGAGCCACATCCCTAGCCCTATTTTGTATTTTTTTTTTTTATTTAGAGACAGGGTCTTATTGAGATGCTTACCACCTCACTTTTGCTGAGGCTGGCTTTGAACTTGTGATCCTCCTGCCTCAGCCTCCCAAGCTGCTGGGATTACAGACATACACCCACCACGCCTAGCTGTATTCTCTTGAAGAATATAGTACCAGGGCTGGGATATACCTCAATGATACAGTGTGTGCTTAGCCTGTCTGGGGCCCTGGGTTCCTTTCCCAGCAACACACACACACATACACACACACACATTCACACACACATAAAGCATAGCACCAGCTATGCTGGTGACTGGTTTTAAATTTTTTTTTTTTTTTTGATACCAAGGATTGAATCCACTGAGCCACATCCCCAGCCCTTTTGTTTTTTATTTTGAAGCAGGCTGTCGTTAAGTTGCTTAGGGCCTCACCAAGTTGCTGAGTCTGGCCTTGAACTTGTGATCCTCTTGCCTCAGCCTCCCTAGTCAAGTTTACAGTTGTTCACCACTGCACCCAGCCAAACTGTAATGATGTTTAGGTTAATATCTCTTCTATTAATGAAAAGTGTAGTCACTTTGAAGGCTATTTTTCCCTTTGCTGCCATGTTCAAGGTCATGGCTACTAACTTTTGTGGACATAGTATTTCATAATTCTTATTCAGTAGCCAGGAGCCAGTACAGAGTGTACTCATTTCCCAGTGGCATCACATCACGAAAACTCTGGCCTGTTTTCAGGTGAGGGAAGTCCCTCCTTAGCTTACACTCCCCAAGTGTGGTGGAGTGCTCCTGTCACCCCATTGACTCGGGGGTTCTAAGGCCCAATGAGTGCAAGTTCAAGGTCATCCTGGGCAACTTAGTGAGGCCTTGTCTGAAAGCAAAAATTTTTAAAAAGGATTGGGATGTGGCACAATGGTGGAATGCTTGCCTAGTGTGGGCAGGGCTCAGGGTTCAATCCCCAACACCACACACAGGCGCACACACACACATACAAACACAACATCAGTTTAAGGTAAATTTTTTCAAGATTAGGCTTACATTTAATAAGGTAGTCATATAACTGGTAATGATGGTTACTAGGCCTTCAAAAAAAAGTGTGGTGTATTTTGAAGTATAAATGTGAATATAATTCTAACTTTTTAAAAACACTTTTAGGTTAATATCTCTTCTATTAATGAAAAGCATTTCGTTATAAATTGGGTTTTTATGATCTTGTTTCTCAGGAAAATTATCTTGATCAAAACTTCTTTGGTGGTAGACACCTGTTATCCCAGCTGCTTGGGAGGCTGAGGCAGGAGGGTCACAAGTTCAAGGCCAGCTTTAGCAATTTAGCAAGACCCTGTCTCAAAATAAAAAATCAAGAAGGGCTAGAGATGTAGCTCAGTGGTAAAGTGTCCCTGGGTTCAATGCCCAGCACCAAAATAAAATAAAACAAACAAACAAAGACCTGTGTTTGCACCTTGGTACTTTGTTTTTATCCATGTAAGGGTGGGTGCAGGAAAGACCACTGAGGTTGGAGACAGAGGCCCAGCTTCCAGCCTGGCTTCCAGGATTAATTCATCTCATCCTACAGGTCTTATTTTTTTCCTGACCAAAACCAAGATTGAGACAAAGAATCTCTCAAGTCCCTCACGGATTTGCAATTCTGTCTCCCTCAGCCCACCCCAGATCTCAGTCAGCCTAGCCGTAAATACATATTACCTGTCCTTTGGTATGAGGCCTGGCCCAATGGTATTGGCTTCCATCTCCATCAGAAAGTGTTCTGTTTTTAAATAACTGCTCTATATTTTAAAAATTCTTTAGAAGCCAGGTGTGATAGCACACATGCCTATAATCCCAGTTACCTGGGAGGCTGAGGCAAGAGGACTGCAAGTTGGAGGCCAGCCTGGTCCATTTAGTGAGAATCTGTTTCAGATTTTTAAAAAGGACTAGTGATGTCGCTCAGTGCTTCCCTAGCATGTGTGAGGCCCTAGGTTCCATCCCCAGGACTGCGGGGGGTGGGGGGGAGAATCCTTCAAATTTTAGACAAGTGAATTAAATCCATAACCCTTTTTGAGATTCAATGAAATGTTTTGTTGTGCTGACGTTGTGTGAGCCGACCATTATAATGTGTATGTTAAGCTCTAAGAATTATTTTCCCTGTGTACTGTTTGAGAAACAAAATGCATGTCCTTTGTGTTTATTTTTTTCCTACCAGAGAGATGATGAGGATGGTGATGATATGGATAGTTACCAGGTATTGCTACTGCTGTCAATCCTGTGGCATGGGGCACAGCTATTGCTAATTGCCAGCATTTGCAAAGTGGAAGCCAGGGAGGAGGAAGGAGGACCAGGGAGCCAGAATATGCAGTTTTTCACTTGCTTTATATTTGCTTTCTATGTAATCAGGGGTGTGGTCCTTTTTCTGTTATTTTCCCTGTTAATTCAAAATTTGAAACCCAATACTGTATTTGGTGCTCTGCCATCTGGAATCACTACCTTATAAAGCCCTGCTAGGCAAGACCACTATCACTTAAAAAGACTTGCAGTTCTCCATCTATAGTCTAGTCTTTCCCAGGCTGAACTGCACTGTGCTTCCCACATCCAAGGAACTAGCATTTTTCCAATAAGCCACTTTACTTTTAAAAAGACTTTACTGGCTAGAAAAATGGGAGACATTCATGCACTTCATTTTGTTTAGCCAGTTTTCTCCTCATATTAGGGTTAAGCTTAGTTTTTTCACAACCTATAGGATTTAAATCTCAGCTTTTTCTTTTGGAAAGGCACAAAAAAAATATACTCACATGCAAAACAAGCACTAACTGGCTCCATATCAGAAAAGTCGGTCAGTGTGGTCAGGATCAAAGTAGCACACCTAGATGAAGGTTTTGGGGATTGATTCCCAGTTTGTACTTTTCTACACAAGTTAAGAGGGTATTTATGCAGTGTGCCTTTCTGTATGTCAATCATGGGTGCATTGTGGGAAAAGCTTCAGAGAGCCCCAAGAGTCTCCTCCTAATGTAATATCTTAAGAGTCATATTAAAACAGGCCAGTCCAATAGCATTTCAAATAGAATTGATGGGTTTTTTTTCCCCTACTCTTAATTTCATAAAGAAAGAAAAAAAGGCAAAGCAAACTTTTCGGGCAATGTCAGTGTCCCCTTGGACCTCAGCAGTGCCGTTGACTAACGTCTTGTGGCTTTTTCCGCGCTTCCTGCCGCGTTGGTCCCAGTGAAGGCCGACAGCCGCTTCGGGAATTTCTTCAAGCATGGCTGAATGCATGTTGGGTTTTTGCATGAAAGAACCTTGGTTAGACTCATGGTGGAGGTTGGACATGAGGTCTGTGCAGCAACTTCAAAAGATTCCCTGTTTGCATTTCAGAAAATAAATGTTATTAGACCATGGAACTATGAACTATGAAAATGCCTGACATTTTCCTTTCCACTTGGTGTTATGTGATTTGAGCTCTGTTCATGGTATCCTTCTGCTTTAAATTGCACATCTGTCAGTGAATAGCTACCATTTAAATGCACATACACACACACATACACACACAAAAAAATATATATATATATATAAATCATTCAGCGGCTGGTATGGTTTGAGCTTATCTTGCTTTCTATACAATTATCCTCTTGGAGATCCAAGGCTCTGATTTCTGTATACCGACATCCTTGATCCGCATGCGGTGTTACTGAGGCCTCTTTGCTTTCTTGCCTATTAATCACCCAGCGATGTTCAATGACCTTTTCCTAATGAAAAGTTTCCTGATCAATTTGAACATATTTTTAAAAAGAAAGAAACAGTGTTCTACGCACTGTATAGGAGATACTTTCCTCCGTCTTATCAGGAAGAAGACTTAAACTGCGTCCGAGAGAGGTGGTCAGATGCACTCATCAAACGACGAGAATACTTAGATGAGCAGATTAAAAAAGTCAGCAATAAGAAAGGTACGTGCAATTAACTCCCAGGACGAGCTTCTGTGCTTGTAAGCAGCGGCAGCAGGTTGTGTTCTTCCCTTGATTAGACAGAAGAATCTTTGTTTTTTGAACTTGAAACAGACATACAGATACTTGTGAATCTAATTATATGTTGTTGGTTTACAAAGGCTCTGAATTTGAAAGTAATATGTTTTCATAAATCTCTGAGCTTTGTCATAAAATTGTCACATTAAAGGTCAAACTCACATTTGGGTCTTGTTGTTGATGGACCTTTATTTTATTTATTTATATGCAGTGCTGAGGATCGAACCCAGTGCCTCACACGTTAGGCAGGTGCTCTACCACTGAGCCCCAGCCCCAGCCCTCACATCTGGCTTCGATGAACACAGATGTGATGGATCTCAATATAGCAGTATGAGGTGCACCAGAGTCAGAGTCAAGGGTTCACAGCAGCTTGAAGGTTCTGAGACCATGCTGGTTGGCACCTGGCTCCTGGTGGGCAGTAGCCTTGACCCCAGCTGGGTCACGGTGCTCTCTGCAGCTCCCTTGCCGCCGAAGGACACAGCTTGCTTTGGCTGGCAACACCACTTGGATTCTGGAATAGAAATATGCTCTTAAAATCCTTAGTCTCTCCCTCCGACTTCAGGGTCTACGTGTTGAGGTTGACCCAGCACCAACGCACACATCTTGAATGTTGATCCATTTTATACAGAAGTTAGCCAAAGTTCTCTCAGGAGACATCTTGGTTCAGCTTGTGGTGTCTGGTGGGGAATGTGCTCAGACCACTTGTGAAAACTCACTTTGACTACACCTGGGAAGCCCCAGAATTGAATTATGGATAAGAGCATTCCAAAGTAGAGCAAATAAAATCCCTTTTCATAATAAGCAGGAAGGAAGAGAAAAAAGTTTGACCCTCGGCAACTTAGCGAGGCCTTGTCTCAAAATAAAAGGGGCTGGGGATGTAGGTCAGTGGTTAGCGCCCCTAAGTTCAATCCAGTATCCAGCGCGCGCACACAAACACACACACAGTTTTACAAAGCATAGTTTATGATGTCCTTAAATTGTCTGTCATTTTATAAGATGGTATCTAGCTTTATATGCCACATCCGTTATTTCATTTGATCACTTCAGCAAGGTCATGAAACACACTGACCTGAGTTTCCACTGTTTGACAGATTAGGAAGCTAGGACTTGTCTTTTGAAGGCTTTCCCGTATTTCGGTGCTAGGAACCTAAGTCCTCTTGCTGCCTTCTTCTTTTCCTGGCATGCTGTGGGTACCGGGGCTGGTCCAGCCTCTCCCAGCCTCGATGCTCAGGCCTGACCTTCAAAGCCGCAAACCCTTTTTTGGGACGTAGTGATGTGTAAGCCATGTGGGGTGTCACTGAGTGCACATCCGTCTCCAGTGTGGACGCTGTTCTTCCCTCTCCTGGGCACCCATCCCCTCATTTTCTTCTGCAGACAAGACAGAGGACGACGTGGAGCGGGAGGCGCGGCTGGTGGAGCAGTGGGTGGGGCTGACGGAGGAAAGGAACGCTGTGCTGGTGCCCGCCCCGGGCAGTGGGATCCCCGGCGCCCCGGCTGACTGGTGAGGCCCCCTGCCTTCTGTGCCGTGGGGGTGGGTGTCTACTGCCCGTGGCAAGAGCCATGTCCATGGCTTTCTAGGATTGTCACAGTGAATGCCAAGGAACTGAGCTGTCAGGAAAGGGCCACCCAACCCTAGTGTTCCCTCCTACTACAGCCAGCTTCCTCCTGCAGGAAGCCAGAGAGATTGCTGACCCTCCAAGAATCCAGTGCCACTCCTGTATTCCTCTGAATGAGAACTTGGACACTGTTTCCTGATCTCTAGGAATAGTATCATGTTGGCTAAAAAGGATATTCCCAGAGGGTAGGGGACAGTTTTTTAGGTTTTGTTGTTGGTGGTGGTAGTGCTGGGTATCAAATCCGGATCACTTTATCACTGAGCTATATCCCTGGCCCATTTTATGAATTTTATTTTTGAAATAGGATCTTGCTAATTTTCTCAGGCTGGCCTCAAATTTGCGATCCTCCTGCCTCAGCCTCTCTGAGTCATTGGCTGAGATTACCCGGGTGTGCCACTGTACCCAGCCTTTTTTGTTGGTTTGGTTTGGTTTTTGGGGTGCTGAGGATTGAACCCAGGGCCTGGTGCATGTTAGGCAAGATCTCTGACACTGAGTGACATCCACGACCCTGTTCTTATTTTCCCTAGTATGTGTTATTTTGGTAACTAGCAAAGAGTAAGCACTTAAGCCTACGTAGTCAGTCAATCAGTTGATTGATAATCGATGCTTGGTATGTTCCTGAGAAACAGCCTAGTGCCCAAAGCTCTGGAGTGAAATAGTTTGGGATTTAGTTCTTGGTTTTAGCTCTTCAGTGTGTGTGTGTGTGTGTGTGTGTGTGTGTGGTGTTGGGAGAAGGCACGTTAAACACCTTGCTTATCTTCACACAGCCTTCCTTGTAGATTACGATGTACATAAAATAGCTGCACCACCATTCGGTGCATGGTAGGGCTGCTTCTTGCTCTCATTCTCTTTCTAATTACAAAAATATGCCCTTGAGACTGATTCCCTTTGAATGCAAAATGTGCATGCCCAGATAGTTTAATTTGGACACACTTAGCAACCCTCGTGATATTGTCTGCTTGTCTGTGGATACATGGAGCTATAACCAGTTCCATGGTTTGTTTATGCAACTGGAGAACTGAGTCTGCAAGTGCATGACTTGTGACTGGTTGTCTCTCCCTTGGGTTCCGCCTCCTGCTGGAATCCCTTGGGGGGAGCCAGCTCCTTCCCGACCTGATTGTTTCTCAGAGCCCTCTCTAGACAGTCCTCCACCTTAGCACAGTCTCCCCCATTTCACATATTTTCAAACTTCAGAGCCACTTGAGTAGTTGCAAAATGTGGTCCTGGGTTGTGTCCCTCATGTTCTAGGAGAGGCTTTGTCCTGCACCCGAGGCCTCCTCCTTCACACGTCTCGCGTGTTCCTCCAGGCTCTTAGCTGTTGGCCCCTTTGTTCACTTCCTCTAGATCCTCTAGCTCTGATCTGTCTCATTACCACCACCTACACCCCTGTTCCTTCTCCCCATCACTAGAATTAGTTTTAGAAAGTCTTCAAATGACCTCTGTTTCAATTGGTTGCATTTAATTCACATATCTGGCGTCTCCTGCACATAAATCCTGTAGTCCCCAGGACTGGGTTGTAGGGAGGTGAACATGTAAAGCTAGGCCAGCCACAGAACCTACCTCTCCACAGGGCTTCTCTTCTGCTTCCATGACCCTGTTTTATAAACCAGCAAGATAGCAGACAGATACTTTATTGTTAAATTTTGTTATTAAATTTAGGATTCCACCTTCTGGAATGGAAACCCACATACCAGTTCTCTTCCTTGATTTGAATGGTAAGTTCCAGGAGCCACCACATTTAATTAAAATTTGTCATGTATTCAGACTCACATTATTTCGATCTGTAAATCACTTTTGTAATTGCTCATATGCCGTTTTAGGTGACATTGTGGTCCATTCAAACATATGTAAGCATGACAGATAGTATCACTGACAGAAAGATGTAAATATTAAATTAAAAAAATAAGAACAGTTAGGGGCTGGAGACGTGGCTCAGTGGTAAAGCACTTGCCTTGTATGCATGAGGCTGTGGGTTTGATCCTTAGCAACACACACACACACACACACACACACACACCCCACTTAGGAATATTGAGAATTATGTACAAGAATATTAAAGCAGTTGTTCTGAAACGTTGATATCACTTCTGAAGCATAGGATGGCTTCTGAGAAGGACCCATTTGCTGGTGAGAAAGTTCAGTTCCAAGTGGGGAAAGTTACCCCAGTCCCAGCGTTTCCAGCTGAACGTTATTCCTGTCTCTAGATAAATAAATCTAAGTACCCATCGGAGTTGAAGGGAGTTACTTTTATTTTATTTTTAAAAAAATGGAACTATGAAATGTAAAAATTTCCCCCCCCCAAAAAAAAAGTCAAATGGTGCTACATAAGACATTTTTGTTTTTCTTAGGAGAAAGGAGTTATATGGAAACTTCTGGAAGTTAAAGACAGATTAGGATCCATCATGTATTTGTTTGTTTACTTGTTGTAGATGAATACAATACCTTTTTATTTTAATTTTTTTAGTTGTAGTTGGACACAGTACCTTTATTTTATTTATTTATTTTTATGTGGTGCTGAGGATCGAACCGAGCATCTCACACGTGCCAGGCAAGCGCTCTCCCACTGAGCTACAACCCCAGCCCCTGTTTATTTATTTTTATATGATGCTGAGGACTGAACCCAGTGCCTCACTCATACTAGGCAAGCGCTCTACCACTGAGCTACAACCTCAGTCCCTCATCATCTTAACTTAAAACCACTCATGCTACTTTTCTTCCAGCCTTGGTCACTTGGAAAACAGTCTTATGTGCTATGACTCCACAAAAAGATGACTAAGACTGTATGTAATACAGCCCCCTCTCATCTCAGGGAGGTGAATAGGATTCCATCACTGGGCTCAGACTATGCTGTTTGCTTTTACCATTCTTCCAACCAAATGTAGGTGTGCATTCACAGGGTCAGCTGCTGCATAATCTGCTCCTTTTGTAGAAGAATTAAAAAAAAAATCTTAAAATAGCAAATGTCACAAGACTTTTGAGAAAGTCAACAACAACAGCTTCCTTCTCCAGGAGAAAAATCCCTCTTTTCATCCAAAAATATGAATTTACACTTTAAAATGTGTATTTGTAAAGAAACTTTGATGGTTTATTCCAATATGAAATCCATCTTCATGTCTTTATGCTTCTTTATCACATCAAAGGGTTAGCTATAAAACTGGATTTGTGTTTCTGTACTATGAAGCTATAAGACGAACCAGGATTTTGAGATATATATGACTTTCACCATCTTTTTCTTTCCAAGTTACAACAAATATTTGGAATTTACTGCTGTGGTCTAGTATGTGCTTATCATAATAGTGGCCGAAACTAGAAGACATTTTGAAAAACCCTGAAGGTCATCCATTCTTGCCATGTATTTAGTCTTGTTGGAACAAAAGGCAAAGAATTCACAAACACCACGACCTAAGCACCTGTTTCAAATTAAAATCAGCCTTGAGCTTGCAAAATAATTTTTTGATAATTAAGCAATTTGCAACAGAAGACCTATGTCAGTTTTGTTTTTTTTTTTTTCCTCCTGGAGAAGTCAGCAGATAACTGCATCCTAAGAGTTTCTGCATTGATCTGGAAGCTGAAACAAAACAAAAAGCAGGCTTTTCCAAACCACAGAGGTGGCCTGTAGAAAGATATCCGCATTTCAGTGGGGAAAGTGGCTGATGGAAGAGGCAGTGGTACCTGCTTTAGGAGTCTACTCAGAAGTACCTGCCACGTCCCCAGTTCAGAATTGTGTTTTGAGATGAATATAAAAGCACCTGAATGTCATGAAAATGTTCTTCCCTGTGTGATAAGGATCCTCACATGGTCCAGCAGATGCAGTCAGCCTGCCGAGGTCCACCTGCCCAGACCCACGGGCTAGACAGCCAGCTGAGGCGCTCATCACTCCGCGAGCCACATCCCCAGCCCTATTTTGTATTTTGTTTAGAGTCAGGGTCTCTCTGACTTGCTTAGCACCTCACTTTTGCTGAGGCTGGCTCTGAGCTCTCAATCCTCCCACCTCAGCCTCCCAAGGTTCTGGGATTCCAGGCATGCACCACCCGCCTGGCTAGAGTTGTATTTTTAAGGAATTAAAGTCATTGTGATCTTAGAGTATCTGTTTCAGTTTGAGGATAGAGAATGAAAGAAAAAAGTTATGTCACATGTAAACATTTTCTATAATAAGTGTATTTTGGGGCTGGGAGTGTAGCTCAGTGGTAGAGTACTTGCCTAGTATGCACAGGCCTTGGGTTCAATCTCTAGCACCTCAAAAAGAAAAAAATATAAATATGTTTTTGAATTTGGGGTGATTGCTTAAAAACTATCTTTCCCCTACCTCTTTATCCTGTGCCTTAAACTTGAACTTGGTTAGCGGATGACCTCAGTGCCAACGAGCAGCTTGTGGGTCCACACGCATCAGGCGTGAACTCCATCCTGCCCAAGGAGCATGGCAGCCAGTTTTTCTACCTGCCCATTATAAAGCACAGCGATGACGAGGTAATTTATCCCCAGGTCTGTTGGAGGCCTCTGATTAGCCCTCAGTGGGGTGGGGCGGGGGAGGGCTGTCTTCCTGATAAGCCATTGTGGTCTGCTTTGGGGAGGAGGAGCGGGGGACTTCAAAAAATAAATCATTTGTGTTGTTCAGAATAGGTGAGGAAAGAAGTCTGTCTGACTAGGTCGAGTGGAACTTATTTCCGTCTCGCCATGTTTTCCCTCCCTCCTAGGTTTCAGCTACTGCCTCTTGGGACTCCTCAGTACACGACTCTGTTCACTTGAACAGGGTCACACCGCAGAATGAAAGGATTTACCTGATTGTGAAGACCACCGTCCAGCTCAGCCACCCGGCTACCATGGAGTTGGTATTAAGGAAACGGATTGCAGCCAACATTTACAACAAACAGGTAGCAACAGCGGCGCTCTGCTGTGTCTCCCAGGTCCCAGTCTTCCTTCTGTCCCAGTCCTGTTTCACAGTGTGAATACAGGGAAAGGGCAGAATGTGGCCACACTGGCCAGGTTAGAGCCTGACTGTCATTTCTCCAAGATCACTGGGCGTGTGGCCCTCAGAGGTAAATGTCATCCCCAGAACACTTGGCCACCTTGACGGAGAGGAAACCCGTCATCCTGGCAGTGACATTTTCTGGTTTGAAAAGTAGAAATATAGACTAAGAGGTTAAGTCTCAGGCCCAGTCAGGTTAGAAACAAAACCAGGACAAAACACAGACTGCAAATGAGTGCCTGTGCAACCACTTGGCCAGGTCACATCTCAGAGTGCTGGTGTTCTGGAAAGACTGATTAAAGGGAGAGATTAAATGGAGTTAGCAGAGGGGAGGGGAATACCACCACAGAGACTGTGTGCTGCACACTCCGCAATGCAGTCTCCAAGTCACTCCTGGATGTTGTTGTCCCTCAGAAGTATAGACAGGATATTTAAGTTTATAGGGTTTTTTTTTTCCTGTTTTTCAGAATATTGTGTGTATATATCAAAAACATAAGTATTCATAATGCATTTACAGTGGGTAAAATATTGAGCCTGTATTTGTTACACAGTTTAATCCATCCTTTTCTTTTCCGCCAGAGTTTTACACAGAGTTTGAAGAGGAGAATATCATTGAAAAATATATTTTATTCCTGTGGGGTAACCTATGAAATAGTCTCCAACATACCAAAGGTAAAATATATATTATTTAAAAACAATTTTTTATTTCTTTATTTTTTTGCAATGCTGGGGATCCATCTCAGGGCCTGGTACATGGTAACTAAGCAAGAACTCTGTCATTGAGCCACATCCCGAGCCCTATTTTGTATTTCATTTAGAGACAGGGTCTCAGTGAGTGGCTTTGCACCTTGCTGTTGCTGAGGCTGGCTTTGAACTTGAGATCCTCCTGCCTCAGCCTCCCAAGCTGCTGGGATACTGCACCTGGTCCCACCGCACTTTTGAAGAAAACGTTGTCCACATGAGTACTGTCACTTTTCCCCTCTCTCTTTAGGCAACCGAAGAGATTGAGGACCGGGAAACCTTGGCTCTCCTGGCAGCCCGGAGTGAAAACGAGGGCACGTCCGACGGAGAGACGTACATTGAGAAGTACACACGGGGCGTGCTGCAGGTGGAGAACATTCTGAGCCTTGAACGGCTCCGGCAGGCGAGTAACTGAATAGCTGGATGCCTTCACCCCAGGGAGCAGGGACGAATTTGTAACCAAGCACCTGTCTAAAGCTATCAGAGAAGGAGCAGTCACGTGGCAAATGTCTTTATTGAAAGGATTTTGACAAAATAGTGCCCCAAATAAAGATAATGCGAACTTTCATTGAATACTTCCAACCTGCCAAGCACTGTGCCAGAATAACTTAGATACTGTTCTCTGGTCGCTTTTTCATCACTGTGACCAAAATCCTGACAAGAACAATTTTAGAGGAGAAAAAACGTTTATTTGAGGGGCTCACGGTTTCAAAGGTCTCAGTCCACAGATGGCCAACTCCATTGTGCTGGGCCCACAGTAAAGTAGCACATCATGGCGGAAGGGTGTGGAGGAAGAAAGCAGCTCAGGTTTACCAGAGACAAATGTAAATCCCAAAAGCACATCCCACCCACCCACCTCCTCCATCCACACCTAACCCTCCTACAGTCACCACCTAGTTAATCCATTCAAGTGCTTAGCATTACAGTGATCAGCTTAAGGTTCTCCTAACCTAGTCATTTTACCTCTAAACTTTTTTGCATGGTCTCACACATGAGCTTTTAGGGTTCACCTCATATCTAAACCATTACGGATACGTTGTTTAATTGTCAAAGGTAAAACTGTTGTAATTCCCATTTTTAAATGAAGAAATCGAGTCTGAGAAAAGTCAGCTCCCTTGCCACAGATTTCACAGCTACTTAGGAAAGGGTACAAAGTCAGATGTAAACCCCAAGCAGCTGGATTCCAAAGTCCATATGTTTAACCACATGCTGCCACTCTCTCCCTGATTCTGAGACCCAAGTTAATTTTTGAGGTAACAGCGGAGACATTCAAGCACAAGTGGTTCACTCTGTATTGGAACTGTAAAACCAGGTGTATGTCCTGTGTTGACCGCACGGGAGCAAGTGGTTGACAATATGGAAAGTCTGTGTTGAGCAAACCAGCAGGAGAAACCCGACTGACAGCTGTCAGGATCATTTTCTTTTAGTAGAAACCTAATTGCTACCTGAGTGAAACACAAATAGCATAAAACTTCTTTGTTGTTTTGCAAGTGAAATATACAGCTAGAGGTATCTTCTCATTTCCTCATTTTCTCTGCGCACTCCTCTGTCACTTGTGTAAAAATATTCGCAGTTGAAATGTATTTTGCCCAGCATTTTTTCTGGGTTTTTTTTTTTTTAATATTTTCAACAAAACTGTGCAAATAAAGAAAAAGGCAGGCGCAGCAAAATTGCAGTTTTGTAAATATGGATTTGTGCGCATGCGTGATCCATATTAGCAAAGTGATCTTTTCATCTATATTTTATAAATCTTCTACAAATACATGTGTCCCTTTAATAATGAGATGAGACATTCATGAACATTATCTTTAAATTATACGTTGACAGGCCGTCACGGTCAAAGAGGCACTTTCCACCAGAGCCCGGCACATCCGGAGGAGCCTCAGCACACCGAATGTTCACAATGTAAGCTCGCGCTGGTGGGGACTTGCTTCCTGTGTGACCTGCCTCAGTATTTGGGTGGGGGCCTCAGGGATGGGAGGCTGGGGCTGGCACAGTGGGACTGTCACTCCTGGCATGGGAGCACCTCCCCCAGTGTGCTGAGCCTGCTTCTCTGTACCAGGGACGCAGCAGAGAGCCAGGCTCAATGTATCCTTGCTTCTCAGCTCCTAGTCTTTCTTTTGACTGTTTTGATCATCTTTCTCAACCAATTCACCTAGAAAATTCAGTCGACAGAAATTGCCTCTGGCAGAGGGGACACTGTCATGGGAATAAAGGACAGATTAGTGCATGGACCAATTTCAAAGCTTTCTCTTCCCAGAAGCAGCAGAGTAGAAGTGAGAGCCTTCTAAGGAAAAGCACAGAATTATTTGCCTTCCCTATCTCCAGAATTACCAGAAAACTATTAAACCATGGTGAAGGTTTGCAAAGTTGTCTTACAGCACACAGAGGAAATCACAGCAGAGAGCAGTAATCTCTGTCCCAGGCGTTGCCTCTGACCACAGTGCAGGCCCTAGGAAGATAATAAGACTCAGACAGCTGTAATAGAGGAAACTCGGCCCTGCTGAGTAATGAACCCGAGAAGAAATCAGGATAGAAATCAGGAAGTATTTACAACTAAATGATAATAAAAACAGGCATATGTTGATATTGTAGGATGCAGTTCAAGTGGTATTTAAATGGAAATGATGAGCCCTAAGTTCCCTGTTCTTCTTATTTATTCATCAGAATACTAGACAGTAGGGCTGGGGTTGTGGCTCAGTGATAGAATGCTCGCCTCCCTTATATGAGACACTGGGTTTGATTCTCAGCGCCACACATAAATAAATGAATAAAATAAAGGTCCATCGACAACTAAAAAAAGAAATATTTTAAAAAATACTAGACAATAGATAAAATGAAAGAGTGAGAGTTACTATTAGGAAATTTATGGTTCTTACGTTAAAGCTGGGGGCGGGGAGGTTGGTTTGGTAGTGTGTACCTGAAGTCCCACCTACTCAGGAGGCTGGGGTGGTGGGGGGAGAGTCTCTTGAGCCCAAGAGTTCAGGACCAGCAACATATTAAGCCCTATTTCAGAAAGGGGGAAGGGGGGTAAACGGGCTGGGGGATGTAGCTCAGTGATAGAGTGTGTGATTGACATGTGTAAGGTCCAGGATTCAATTTCCAACACCAAAACAAAAAACATGAAATAATCTAAATGTCTTTCTTTCTTTTTTTTCTTTAAACCTTAACCTAATCAAGACTCCAGGTCTAACCAGGCACGGTGGTGCATGTCCGTAATCCCAACAGCCTGGGAGGCTGAGGCAGGAGGATCGAGAATTCAGAGCCAGCCTCAGCAAAGGCACTAAGCAACTCAGTGAGACCCTGTCTCTAAATAAAATACAAAATAGGGCTGAGGATGGGCTCAGTGGTTGAGTGCCCCTGAGTTCAATCTCTGACACCCCCCACCGCCCAACCCCCCCCAAAAAGACTCCAGGTTTAGCTACTAACTTTCAAAGAACACAGATGAAAGTGTTAAATACCACCACAGAAATTCAATTAGCAAAATCCAGACTATGAGACACTACAGGGGAAATGACCTAATTTTTTTTAACAAATTAAATTTAATTAAATTGTTTTAAAAACAGATAAAACTCCAAAAAAATTCAATTTTAAGAAAAGGGAGAACTCGTAGATTTAAAGACACTGAAATATATCAGTCAATTGCAATGTATGAATTATTTTGATCCAGATCCAAAATAAATTAATTGTGAAAATGTTTACGAGACATTTGAACATGACCATATATTTGATAGTATCTATGAATCACCTAAGTTGTATAGAAATGATAATGTATTGTGGTTATGGTTTTTTAAAAAGGCGAGAGGAAGAGTTCCTTATATTCTACAGATTTATAGATAAGACAGGTGCAGTGGCACACACCTATAATCCCAGCCCGAGGGAGAAGGATCACAAGTTCAAATCCAGCCTGGGCAACTTAGCGAGGCCCTATCTCAAAAAATAAAAAGGCTTGGGGATGTAAGTCAGTGGTAGAGTGCCCTGGGGTTCATTCTCCAGTATCAGAAAATAAAAATAATAATATTAAATTGAAAAGGGCTGGTAAAGTAGCTCAGTAGTAAAGTACCCCTGGGTTCAATACCCCGTCCTGCAAAAAATAAAAATAAGAGAGAGATTAATAGGCAAATAGTTATAGACACAGTTTTAGTTAGAAAAAAGAAAACCAGCATCATTTAAGTAAGGAAAGAAATAAATATTAGAACAAAAAAAATATTCAAATAATATTAGAACAAACTTAAGAAAAATAAAGAATCAGCAAAACTGAAAAGCAGGTTGTTTAAAAAGTCTGGTCACGTGGACTGGCTCTTTTAACAAGATTCATTTGGAAGGAAAAGAAAATATGAGAAAAGATACAAATATTAGAAATGAGAAGATGGATTTTTTTTTTCAGTCAGTATTGGGAATTGAACCCAGAAGTGTTCTACCACCAAACTACATCCCCAGCCCTTTTTATTTTTTATTTTGAGGCAGGGTCTCACTAAGTTGCCCAAGTGGGCCTCAAATTTGCAATCCTCCTGTCTCATCCTCCTGAGTAGCTGAGATTATAAGCATGCACCACCATGCCTGGCTATGGGGTGTTTTCATCAGAGTTCTAATAGAAAAAAGTCAGAAGCAGCCTCAATACTCATTAACAGGAGAATGGAACAAAATAATCCACCACGCTGTGTAAGACCAAGTGTAGTAAGACAACACTTACATGAAGTACAAAAATATGGAAAATGAGGGTGGTAGAGCACTTGCCTCGCACTCAGGAGGCCCTGGGTTCCATCTCCAGCAGTGGGGGGCTGGGGTGGGGACTACAGAGATACTGATTATTGCTTTTTTTCCCCTTTATAGTTACTAGGAATTGAACCCAATATCACTGCACCACGAGTTACATCCTCAGCCCTTTTTACTTTTTATCTCGAATACTACGTTTCTGAGGGTCTCACTAAGATCCTGAGGCTGGCCTCGAACTTGCAATCCTTCTCCCTCAGTTCCCTGAGTTGGTGGCAGTATAGTTTTGTGCCACTGCACCTGGCTGCTATTTACTGTTTATCTGTGTTTGCACATGTGATTACACAACATAGGTGTGGAAGTAACTTCTTATTGAGTGTAGTCATTATTCCTGGAGAGGGAAATGAAAGAAGAGAGAGGTCACACAGCATTCAGGACATCCGTGGCGTGACATTTCTTTCTATAAAAAGACAATTACAGGTGGGCGTGATGGTATTTGCCTGTATCCCAATGGCTCAGGAGGCTGAGGTAGGAGGATCACAAGTTTAGGTTCAAAGCCAGCCTCCTAACAACTTAGCAAGACCCTGTCTCAAAATTTTTAAAAAGGCAGGGGGTAGGGGCAGGGCGGGGTGGGGGGGATGTATCTCAGTGGTTAAATGCCCCTGAGTTCAATCCCTGTTGACAAAAAGAAAAACAACAGCAACAAAAAGGTTATACCTGGACGTGGTGACTAACACCTGTAATCCCAGCAACTCAGGAGCAGAAGGATTGCAAGTTCTAAGCCAGCCTCACTTTTTGAGACCCTGAGCAACTTAGCAAAACCCTGTCTGGAAATAAAACATAAAAAGGGCTGGGGATGTAGCTCAGTGGTTAAGTTCCCCTGGGTTCAATCCCTGGCACATAATTTTTATTTATTTATTTATTTAAAAATATTATATATATTAAAAAACATATATATAAAAAAATAGACAATTATGTTAAATACATGAGCCACATTTATAAAAACTACTTATCTCTTATAGGTTTCCTCTAGTCGACCAGACCTTTCTGGCTTTGACGAAGATGACAAGGTATGCATCTATGGGCATTGCTGGGTCACTAGCAGGATCCAAGCTCTTGAGAACATAACTGGTATTTATACTTTCTGATTATGTCCTCAAGAAATCCAGAATCTATTCCTCAGAGGTAGCCCACTCCTAAGAAGTTGAAATCGGGTAGATAAGCTCAAACAACATGTAAGTTTTCTCCCTTAGTACACCACTTAGTACACTTAGTGCACCTTGAGTCTCAGGTATACATGAAGTCAGCACACCACCTAGTTTGCCTGGTTCAGTGCTAACTTGGGCTACTACCAGGCAGAATTGTCAATGGAACCATTTTACTCTCAAGTAGTGTATGGATCGTCCTTGCACTGTCCAGTCACCACAGATGTAGGCCAGACTGATAGAAAGGGCTGCCTCTGAGAGGGAGGAATGGGACCACCAAGGGGTTCACAAGTGGATGTCACTGTGTTTGTAAGTCTTAAGGAAATACGATAAAATTAACATGTTTCACTCTGGGGATACCTTGGGTTTGATGGTGTTCGTTATATTGAGCACTTTTATCTCTGTTTGAAATACGTCATAATAAAAGAGCACATAACTGCCATTAAACATAGGAGAAACTCAAATCTAGGCTTCTTTCTCCTTTTGGAGTGACTGACTCACAGTGAGCCTGTACCTTGTATACCTTGTAGGGTTGGCCAGAGAGCCAGTTAGACATGTCTGACTACAGCTCCAGTTACCAAGATGTGGCGTGCTACGGAACTTTACCCAGGGATTCGCCTCGGAGGAGCAAAGAAGGTAGTGGTCGCATGGTTTTGCGGTGACATTTCTTTTTAATTACTTGGGAACAGCATACACAGTCTTCCACGGCTATCACGTAATGACATACAAAGCTTAGATTCTTTTTTTTTTTTTAAAAAGAGAGAGAGAGAGAATTTTTTAATATTTATTTTTTTAGTTATCGGCGGACACAACATCTTTGTTTGCATGTGGTGCTGAGGATCGAACCCGGGCCGCACGCATGCCAGGCGAGCGCGCTACCACTTGAGCCACATCCCCAGCCCCAAGCTTAGATTCTTGTCAGCTAGATGAACCAAAGTGTGCTTGTGGATTGAAGCCATCTGTCCTCTTACTGGATTTCCATTTTTCTTTCCATTCATCAAATAATAATAGTAGTATGCTTTTTGTGTATTGCATATCACTTCAGATTTTCCTTTTTTTTTTTTTTTTTTGTTGTGATACTGGGGATTGACTCTGGTTAGGGAAGCTGTCTACCACTGAGCTGTAGCTCAATAATTTCTACTTTTTTTTTTTTCCTTTATTTATTTTGGTACTGGGGATTAAACCCAGGAGAGTGTAACCATTGAACCACATCCCTGGCCTTTTTAATTTTGGGGGACAGGGTCTCACTAAGTTGCTTAAGGCCTCACTAAATTTCTGTGGCTTACTTTGAACTTGTGATCTTCTTGCCTCAGCCTCACAAGTCACTCAGATTGCAGGTGTGTGCCACTCTGCCTGGTTATTCTTTGAATTTTTTATTATTTCTTTTTTATTTTGAGGCAGGGTCTTGCTGAGTTGCCCAGGATGGCCTCAAATTTGCAGTTCTACTATCTCAGCCTCCCAAATAGCTGGGCTTATAGGCATGTGCCACCACTCCTGGCTTCTTAGTTTTCAAGACATCACGTCCTGAATTTGAAGTACATACACAGATCTTATTACATTATTCTCTACAAAAAGAACATGCACCTCTGTCATATATATTTTTGTTCCTAAAGGAATTGTGTATATGTGTTACTTGGGACTGTACCCAGTGGCACTCTACCACTGAACTACATCCCCAGCCCTTTTTATTTTTAGATAGGATCTTGCTAAATTGCCTAGGCTGGCCTCAAAGTTGTAATCCTCCTGCCTAAGCCTCCTGAATAGCTGAGGTTACGGGTGTATACCACTATGCTTGAATCAAAGGAGTTCTTGTTTTTATTTTATTATATGTATGTATGTATGTATGTATATATATATTTTCCAGGACTGGGCTCAAACCTGGGCTTCATACATTCTAGGCAAGCTTTCTACCACTGAGCTACATTACCAACTTAAAGGAGTTTTTAAGAGAATGTGATTGGGCTGGGCACAATGGTACATGCCTCTAATCCTTGAGAGCCCTTGGAGCCTGGTATTGTGGCTCACCAGTAGAGCGCTTGCCTAGCTTGGGCGGGACCCGGGTTCGATCCTCAGCAGCACATAAAAATAAAGGCATTGTGTTGAGTCCATGTACACATAAAAAGTAAATATTAAAAAAAAAGAAAAGAGAGGCCTTGGTAACTTAATAAGACCCTGTTTCAAAATACAAATTAAAAAAAGAAGTTCTGGGGATGTGTGTAGCTCAATCGTAGGACACTTACCTAGCATGCTCGAGGCCCTGGATTCCATCCCCAGCACAAAAGAAGGGGCGTGGATTATGACTGATTCCTAAAGTCCAAAAATGATACCAGAAGTCAATTTGATCAGTGACAATATATTGCCTACACTTCTAGTCTTCCCAGTGCCTTAAAGAAAATAGTGTTCTCTGGAAATATCAATTCATCTGTTACCTTATAGTTTATATTTTACTTACTAAGTGTCATTATACTAAGAATTGGGAAGAAATTATAGAAGGGGGAAAGAGGCTACGAACAAGGTAACATGAGAGAACAAGCAAGAGTTATCTGTCTTTAGCGGTATGGAGCTGGGTAGCCTGAGGCCGAAAGGGACAGGCAGTCCACCTTCACCGAGCACAGTCATTCATTGAGCATACTTATTGAACCTCTATTTGCTCTCTAAAAATGTAACCATGGGGCTGGGGCTGGGGCTGGGGCTCAGTGGTAGAGCGCTTGCCTAGCATGTGTGAGGCACTGGTTCGATTCCCAGCACCATATAAAAATAAAAATAAACAAAATAAAGATATTTTTAAAATGTAACCATGGAAATAAGATATATAACAAGTAAAACATTCATTGTTAAAGTGCAAATGTGCATGTACAGATGACAAGGGCCTGAGGACTCAGAGGTGGGAAGTCCATGAGCTGAGATTGTTCTGCTCAGTGGTACTTAAAGCCGGGTCATGGAAAGAAGGCAGAGCATTTGTTTCCAATTTCTCTCGCACTGCCCAGCCCTTTGGTAACTCTGTGATTTTATAGATTTATCCCTGTTCTTGCCTATGCCCATGTTAATGCCCGACCAAATAGTCACGTCTTCTTGTCGCCATTATACCACGTGGTCCTCTGGCGAGGTTTTCGCCTCCCTTCCTGGGTGCCTGTGAACACACCCTATGGCTGTAAACTCATGTCATTTGTCTTCCACAGGTTGTGCCTCGGAGAATCCTCATGCCTTAACAGTGAGCCCTTTTAAAGCATTCTCTCCTCAGCCACCAAAGTTTTTCAAGCCCCTGATGCCTGTCAAAGAGGAGCATAAAAAAAGGACGGCTCTTGAAGCAAGACCTCTTCTAAGCCAGGAGGTAAATGCTTGACTTGTCTGTACCGTGCAAATCAGAGTGGTGTCACCCCGTCTCAGGGAACGGCAGTTTGCATTCACAAGTCGGACGCTGCATGTGGACACGCATGGGTTATTTCTCAGTGGATCTGTTCTTAGGTACCTCTTTCTCAAACACACAGGCTGTGGTAGGATATTTTTTTCAATTGTTAATTGTTGTGGTTTTACATCTCTGTGTTGATGGCTTTTCCAAGTAATTTTCATCTTTCAAGTGAGAAAAAGATGTCCCCTAGGCCTTTTGAAAATATTAAAAGCTTTTACTTATTCAGTTTTTAATAAAACTAATGGTGCTTTCTGCCACTGAATCTGTGTAGTCCTGTCAGATTTCACCAGTAGTTTAACTCTGCAGAATCGGCTGCTGCGTTGCTCACATGTAATCTAGGCGTTGGCATTGCTTTTCTAACGTGCATGTACTCACTATGTATTTCGCTGTCATCGTCCTTTGTGTGTGATGCGTCTGTGTGTCTTAACCTTTGCAGAGCATGCCTCCATCTCAGGCACTTAACCCTGGCTGCATTGTCCCCCCTGGAAGCAATGGCAGCAGCATGCCCGTAGATCACCATAGCAAACGCGAGAAGAAGATTGTAAGTTCTGGAACCATTTCTGTCATATTGCCTAGTGGTGGGTGTAAAGCCCTTTCACAGATCGTCTTCCAAAAGCTTTCCAAGAAATTAAGACGTGATAAATCTTTGGTGTTTTTCCTTTTATTTATTTATTTTTTAAGTGGTCCTTGGTGATGAAATTTTGTGTACTTGTGCACATGACCTATTCTTTTTTTTCTAAGTTTTCCTTCTATTTTATTTATTTCTTTTTGCTTTGGATAGGTTTGCTTTAAAAATGGGAGAACGATGCCTTTGATGATTCTGGTCTTTACTTAAAAAAAAAAAAAAAAGTAATAGTGATCACTTTAATTAAAATCGAAATCTTTTTAATGTGCCTGTACGTATTACCCAGATCCTGAAGTTAATCTACCTAGAGGAATTGCACTTACTTGGAGTAAGTAACCATGCATTTAGCCGTGGGTGTGTTTGGAAGCTTCTTTGTGTGGCCTGAGCTCCTGCCAAGGTGATTCTGTAGTTTATAGCTGCTCTGTGATCCCTCATCCGCCCGTACGCATCATCCTCATCGCTCTTGCGCAAGTAGCCTTTGTTAATTAGCTGGCAGAATATGGTCTAACCCCCTTGCTCTCAGCCTTGCTTTCAAGATGGCTTACCTATGTTTACCACAGGTAGGTTGAAACTCTTGCTACCGAACCTCATTCCCCAGCCATTGATTTTAAAATTATGCATTTGAGAGAATTTTTTTTTTTAAATGGTGCCCTACCAGACACTTCAGATTCTAAATTACTACCCTCAATTAAAGATATTTGAAAACCCGTATATTCTGAAGTCTGGAAAGAATTCCCTAATTCTGTCCCAGCTTCCTCTCTCCCGTGGCTTCCCAGACTTGAGAGGAGTAAAGCCAGCTGGGGGCAGGAGAGGCTGTGCTGCTGATGGCTGCATGTGATCCGCTTTGCGGGGCCGAGTGGGGGGGCGGGGGGTCTCCTCTCCCAGCTATTCCACTTCAGGTCCATTCCAAAGCCTCATTGGTGTGATCCTTTAATAGTTCCAAAATATGCTGCTAAAGCACCCTGCAGAAGTAACCCCAGCTTGACCTGGGCATGCAGCCGGCCACTCCTTGCTTGCTTGAATCTTAGGAAATGACTTCCTCATTCCTCACATAAGGAAAGAAGAAATGCACCCTTTTCCCTTCATTTCTGTTGGCCGCCTCTGTCCCTCTATCCCAAAGACCCTCTCCTAGTTCCTTATGGAGAAAAGGACACATAGCAGCAGCTGCTCTTTCATCTCTGCAAATTTTAATGAATTCTCCAGCCACTTTCCTGGCCACCCCCTGCCCAATTAATAAGGGCTAAAAGGGCCACATGGCTGTGCTGTTTCCCCTCGGACTCTCTGGCGCCCTGTCTGCATGGACCTTTATGGACATCACTGGAGTGCACAGGCACAAAATTCAAACCTATGGTGATGCTCCACTGTGGTACAATACCATCAAGTGATTGTTGAATGAGCCTCTAGAACTGCCCCACAGGCGGTTTTGCTGTTTATTGCTTGCCTCAGTTATTTTATTTGCTTTGTTTTAAATATCTTAAAACCATTCAGCTGGGAGAGCGTGGGACAGAACCAGATTCTCTCGACCCAGGAAATCTCAAGCAGCGATTAGACTCTGACCGAATGCACTCTGAAGTGTGCCACATTGGTCGAATGGGGCCATTTTCCTGCCAGGTTCTGATGACAGCTACTCTAGTGTCATCTCTTGAGGCTACTGCCCAGTTTTTTCAAGATAGTAGTTTTCCAGGATATTTTGATAGAACTTCAGTATGTGGCTTGTTTGATCAGAGGTTTTAGTTTCTCTTTGGGAAACTTTAATTTTATTCCTCTTATCTGCCTTTGATCCTACTTCACTGTCTTTTCTCTTCCACTCTTGAAAAATCAGAGCGTGAATCATGGTTCAGACTGATGGAGGAAAATTGCAGTTATTCTTGAAAAGTACTATCAAAACACTATTCCTGTTATTTTTTTTTTAACCCACTGAATTACCAAAGTAATTTCTGTAATTCAGAAAATATAATGAAACTGTGGTGTATATTGCTGTGCTTCACATTTAAAGCCACACTTTGTTATCTCATCAATTTGGGAAGATATACAGGTGCTTATCCTATTTTGTATAAATTAAGATAAAGGCAATAGAGTAACCATATGACCCATCTCTGAGGCCTTGTATGGACAAGATGTGGTTTATTTCTTTCATTTATAAGAAGAAACAAAGATCTAGAATTATTAAGCGAGTTGCCCAAGGTCTACAGCTAATGATAGTGTAAGACAAAGAACCCCTCATCCTTCAGCAAGATTGGGCTGACTGCATTGATTCCGCATGCTCCCCAGAGTGCAGTTTGATAGCCAGCCGGCCAGCCCACAGTACCATGGACAGAAGTACTGAGAGCCCTTGGCAGATACAATCCTGAAAGCCGACTGTCCAGAGGCCTGCACAGGCTTGATTACAGTAGGAGTGGAAGTCACACTCATCGAGTGAGACTCGTTGCAAAGAGTCACTGTTTTAATGTGGGTTGTGATCCCTTTTTAAAATCAAGGTGTTTTGTCTATAGGGTAAATATGAGCTGCTTAAGTTAAATCGCAAAAATCAAATCATGGAAGACTGTAGCTATAGAGAAGCTTGAGAACTTGACTTCATGCTCCACTTTTAGGTAGGGTTTTCATCCTTTTTGCCCTTAAGACACTGTAGGAAGGTGCTTAGTGTAGTCTCCTGTAAGATACAATGATAACAATGAGTCTTCTGGTGTGAAAAGTCTATTTAACCAAATCCCCTCAACATTCATTTTAAGCTATTGAAGTCCTCTTATTTTTTTTTTCTTCCTTGAAGATAATAATTCCATAACCTTTCAGTCTCCTTTATGTTTAGAAAGTGTTTAATCTCCACTCAGCTTTCTTTTCCTGGAATAAGTTGTCCCTGCTCCTTTAGTTGTCCCTCTGGGACACTGGGGCCCTTTCCCTCCCTAAGTATATAACTGCAGACTGCTTCCTCTTTGAACTTAAATCTCTTTAGATTCTTTGGTTTTACTAAGGTCATGCAAGATCCTTTAGGAAGAAATTTTCATCTTTGTGGGTCTGATAAATTGATACCTATTTCTACTTGTTAAACTCATGGTTGCATATTTCATTCAGCAGAATTGTATTTTAGGATAACGTGCCTTTCCTAGACTTGAGAAGAAATAACCTCCAGGCATAAAACGGGCCCCAAGTTACTCATTCTCATCTACAAATTAGTTTTTCTTTGCAAGAGATAATCTTTTTAGTAATTAATGGCATCAGGTACTTTAGGGCTTGGAGGATTGTGTTTCTGTGCCAGCTGAGATTAAGGGAGGTATAAGAGACAAACACTTGAAATTCAATTTTGAGTCTAAACCTGACAAGCAGAGATGTCAAGATCATTGTATTGTCATGAGCAACTAATAAAAAAAAAAAAAAATACAGGCAGAGCCTTCTGAGTCACACGATTCCGTCCAGTCTTTGATCCTTTGCCAATATTCTCCCCTAAATAATTCTCCAATCCACTCACTTTACCAGTACTATTTAACTTAGAAAACAGTTAAAGATAAGATGCTGAGAACTTAGTGTTGCCAAGGTTTTTGTTTTGCTGATTTCAGAAACTTTATGACTGCTGTTTGTTTGATATTTACTTTTTAATGGCCAAGGAATTAAGGCTACTGATTTCTTTAGCTAATTTATAGTCAAAAACTTTTCATTTTCTTTTCTTTTTTTTTTTTTTTTTGGTGCTAGAGATTAAACTTTGGGCCTTGTACATCTAGGCACATGCTCTACCACTAAGCTGCACCCCCAACCCTCAAATACATTTTAAATACTGTTCTAAAAGCTAAATGAAGGGTGAGGGTGTAGTTCAGTGGTAGAGCACTTGCCTAGCATGTGTGCAGCCCCTGGGTTCAATCCCCAGCACTGCAATAAAGTAAAGTAAAATAAAATAAAAATGAATAAATAAAAACTAAATTATTTTTTAAACTAAGAGCATTGAAGAGTACTGAACTATTTTTGAGGTGTCTAGCATCTTCTGTGATACAAAAGAAAATATTACCATGAAATTCAACAGAGGAAATTTCCGTTCATTTGTGAACCACCTGCCACGGTACAATGATCTATCTTTCTTGCACATTCTTAGATAAGCCTTTTTCTCTGCCTCTGTCTCTCTTTTGAGCTCTCTCTTAAAATGCAACCTTAATGATTAAAGCTGATATTTGGTTGTAGGTTTTTACAGTCACCTTGTTGTTATAACAGAGATTTCTTTGTTTTTTTTTTCTTTTTTATTACTGGGGATTGAACCCAGGTTCATTATACCATTGAGCCACATCCCCAGTCCTCTTTGTTTTTTATTTTGAGACAGGGTCTCACCAGGTTGCTCAAGGTCTCCATAAGTGGTTGAGGCTGGCCTTGAACTTACAATCCTTCCTCAGCCTCCTGAGTCGCTGGGATTATAAATTTGTGCCACCACACCTGGCAGACAGACATTTAAAATCTCTTCTTAGGGCTAGAGTTGTAGCTTAATGGTAGAGTGCTTGCCTAGCACATATGAGGCACTGGGTTCAATCCTCAGCACTACATAAAAAAATAAATAAATAAAGGCATTGTGTCCGTATACAACTAAAAGATATATTTTAAAAAATAAAATATCTTGTTAAACCAGATGACCAATGTAAAAAAGCTACCTATTTTTAAGGTTTATAAGTTCTATTTTGAATGAAATTTTCATTCATCCAAGCAGAGTTCAGGATTGTTCCAAGGGCAAGGACCAAAGTCATTGCTCTCTGGAGGTGGGAACACCATTGGTGCTCCCAAATCCTCAGGACAATGACGGGCACATAGTGGGTGCTCAATGAATATTTCTTGAATGAAAATAACTTTTTGAAAGCACTATTTGTAGTGTCATCAGTTGCTTATGAGGTTAATCAAAAAGGACTAGATAATATATTATTTCATTTGAATATGAAATTAGAATGTGTTTTACAACATTTTCTATCTATCAAATTATGCATTTATGAAATTATGCATTTATGTCTTGGGAGTATATTTCCCATGTGTGAGGCCCTGGGTTTCATCCCCAGCACCATCCAAAAATTAAAAGTCATTCATCTGGAGAGAGTCTGGGGAGATGATAACACCCACTTTTCCATATTTGCAAAACAAATCTTCATTAAAACTACTTAATGAAGGAGATTTTCATCTAAACCTCAGTATCTATCCTCCTTGTTTTCTAGCCCAGTCCTCCATCTGGGCTTCTCAGTGATCCTAGGAAACTGTAATTGATTGTTTGTATTCTAGAATATTATACTATTTAGTGGATATTATACTATTTAGTGGAATACTGCATGTTTTTGCTCTTGGGGGTCTCTATTTTACTGCCCTCTCTCCCTATAAAATAGCTCAGATTTTCACAAATGACTTGAGCCACCTGTACCTGGCTTCTCAAGGTAAGATTCTAAGGCCCAAGGAAGGAGCAGCTTTTCCCTTTAGCTTTCCCTCTGCTGGTTTAATGAGAAAAAGAGGAAACATCACATCTGCTATTAATCACGTGTAACTAATTAAAGGTCCACTGCCCTCGGTCCCATCCCTTAATCCAGGGAAGGAAAGATCTCTAAGTAGCATTGGGTGAGTAGGAAAAAAAAAAAAATGGCTTCCTACTAACTGATCATGGGTTCATAGGTCTCTGAGAATAATATACTTTTGTGTACAATAAGTGACAAGATTTGACCCACTTGGAAAGAAGGAAGAAAATATAAAATAAAACAGAACTGAAAATGGGACAGGGGGCCTTTAGTAGTGCTAAGCTTGTCTCGATGCTGCAGAGCTGCGGGGTGAGCTGCTGACTCTCGTTTCTGCAGGACTCCGAGGAGGAGGAGAACGAGCTGGAAGCTATGAGCAGGCAGCTGATGAACTCCCAGCCTTACGTCCCTGTGGAGTTTGCTGACTTCAGTGTTTACAACGCCAGCTTGGAGAACCGGGAATGGTTTTCTTCTAAAGGAGATCTGACAAACTCACGGGTCTTGGAGAAAGAGGTGTCTCGTAGCCCTACCACCAGCAGTATTACCAGTGGCTACTTCTCCCACAGTGCCTCCAATGCCACCCTGTCGGACATGGTGGTCCCTACTAGTGACAGCTCAGACCAGCTAGCCGTTCAGACCAAGGATCCAGACTCCAGTGAACATTCCGGACTGTCACTTGGGCACGATTCCAGACTACCCTCAAACAGAGAGTTGCCAGAAGGAGAAGGAGGCTTGGGAAAGGAGAAGACGAACATGGTGCCACTCAAGGAACACAGTGCCTTAGCCAAATCGAGCGCCCCCGAGAAAAGCTCCAGACTGCTGTGTAGGACTGGTTCATGGTCAGAGCCTGATGCCTGTCCCAGCAAAAATGGCCAAGCAGCCAAGGAATTCTGCCCAAGGGAGGTGACAGTTGAACACACCACAAACATCCTTGAGGATCATTCTTTCACAGAGTTCATGGGTGCGTCCGATGGAAGAGACTTTGACGGTTTGACACATTCTTCTGCTGCAGAGGCCTCCAACAGGAGGAACCTACCAAATAAAACAGACAGTAAGAGTGTCCCAGAGGGGCCACGGGACACTGGCCAGCTGAATTCCAAGTTAGAGAATGACCAGGTAATATATTCCAGAGGCAGCCTTTTGGGTCCTGTGCTAGGGTGAGCAGGGCGGATATTACATAGATTGTACACAGAGCTCCAGAGGCCCTTCATTGCAGGGACAGGGTGGGAAAGAGTCATCCTGATATTTCCAACAGGGAAGGGCCCACCGGGGAGCAGCCTCTCAACCTGTCCTGCTCACTCTGTGTGTCAGAGCAGGTTGGCTTTGGGAACCAGAGTGAAACCATGAGATACATAGGACCAGTGGGATTTTATTTTATTTTATTCTATTCTATTCTACTCTATTTTACTAGCGTATGGGTTGGTGTTGAATTGAGCACCCAGGTGGATAAGGATCAATTCACCTCATATTCTTTCCCTGAGATGTTTAGCTATTGGCTCTTCAAAGTTATCTGGTAGCATCTATCCTATTTCATCGAATCTATGATTCCTTTGATTATTATATGATCTATTATTTTATATGTCATTAAGAAGGGAAAACAGCCAGGTACAGTGGCACTTACCTATAATCCCAGCAGCTTGGGAGGCTGAGGCAGGAGGATCGCAAGTTCAAATCCAGCCTCAGTAACTTAATGGGGCACTTAGCAACTCAGCAAGACTTAATTTTAGTTTGAGCAAAACAACTCAGCACTTAGCAACTCAGTATCTAAATAAAATATTTTAAAAGGCTGCAGATGTGGCTCAGTGGTTAAATACTCCTGGGTTCAATCCCCGGTATCAAAAAAAGAAAGAAAGAAACATAAACAGCCAGGTGCCAAGGTGCATACCTGTAATCCCTGCTACTTGGGGAATCACAAGTTTGAGGCCAGCCTGTCTCAAACTAAAATGAAAAGGGCAAGGGATGTAGTTAAGTTGAAGATGCCTATTTAACATGCCTATTTCCCTCTCCAGCATCACAAAAAAAGAAATAACTATCAGCAATTGCAAGACACACCCCAATTTTAGACATGTCATAGTGGAGGGGGAAACATAGGTGGTGAAGAGTTGATAAAGTACAGTAATCTGGTACCCTTACGGGACTGTGCTTCATGGGGAAATAAGGCAGACTTCCTGAGCAGTTAAAGTTTGGGTGGAACAAAATGGATATTTGCTAAGGAAAACACAACAAATTACATAAACAAGAGATCATCAGCCTGTAAGTGTTGTATTCCCAAGTACCACCACTTCCTCCCATTCACGTAACTTTTGGTAGGGGGCCACTGGGGATTGAACTCGGGGGTGCTTGACCACTGAGCTACATCCCAGCCCTTTTTATTTTTTTAGTTTGAGAAAAGATCTTGCTAAGTTGCTGAGGCTCATCTCAAACTATGATCCTCCCGTTTTAGTCTCCCAAATTGCTGGGATTATAGGCATGTGCCACCACGCCAGGTTTATTCTCATAACATTTTTGGCCCCATACCCCTGTGAGCTAAGAAGGAGCCCTGGCGGTGCACAGAGTCACTCACACCCTCAGAAGCCTGGGGAGAAGGTGCCATTCCAACGAGGCGGCTCTTCTCCCCAGTCTTCCCCCTGCTTTCTGTACCAGCCCTTTGCATTTCAGAGTGCAGTCATTTACCCATAAATAAACTGCGAAAGTGACCTTTTGCAATAAGAAAAAGGCTTCTTTCCCCCATATGAGAATAGGGGCTATGGCCCAGTGGTGGAGTGGGCGCTTAACGTGCATGGGGCCCTGGTTCCATCCCCAGCTCCAAGAGAACAGAGTCCCTCCTTGCTGGTATCTGTTCTTGCCACCAAACTGAGCATTTGTTGAAAAATCCTCCACTTCCTGCAAACTGACCTTGAAGCGGGATCAGCATGGATGACCTGCTTCCCCTTTGCATTCAGAAGGCCAGGTCAGAGCCTTTCAAATCCCAGGAGTCCCTCAGTACCAAGACTTTGCTTCCGTGTGGTAAAGCTGGTAAGGTGAGAGGCGGTCAGGTGTCTAGGGTCTGCACGGTGAGCAGCATGGCCCTAAAGCAGAAGGGAGGGGCCTACAGCCCCCTCAAGGGCTTGTTGCCTAGATTATTTAGAACCTGACAAACAGGAAAGGTCTCGCGAAAGGTCCCAGAATAGCAAGTGGCAGAATGCTTGCTTGGTGTGTGCAAGGCCCTGGATTCCACTCCCTTTCTTTGAAAGGAAAAAGAAAAAAAAAGTTGAATCTACAGAAATGTTTGTTGCCTCCCAATAATGGGAGGATGGAGATTCTTCTCCCCTAGGCATTGCCTTAGTGCTTGGTAGGTCTCTCGGCTGTCTGGCTGTTGTTTGCAGGGGTGAAGATTAAACGCAGGGCCTCTGGGTGGGGCGCTGAGCAAGCGCTGTACCACTGCTGCACCTCCAGCCCATGTTGGTTTCAATAAGTTGTTTAGGAAGTTTTAGTGTCTATTTGAGAACTTTTTCTGTGTTAAAATTCTACTTCATTTCTAACCCCGAAATGACTTAGAACGTGGATCAGAGACAACTCTTTTAGATTTTAATTTTTTTGCTGCCTTTGCTTTGCCTTGAGGTTTTACCTCAAGGTTTGGCTTCTGCCTTGCATGGTGTGAATTCCAGAAATGGGTTCCATAAGAAACCCAACCCAGGGCTGGGGTTGTAGCTCAGGGGCAGAGCGCTTACCTAGCATGTGTGAGGCACTGGGTTGGATCCTTAGCACCACATAAAAATAAACAAAACAAAGGCATGATGTCCATCAACAACTACAAAAAAAAAAAAACCCCAAATTTAAAATCCCTTACAGGTGGGCCCTGTGGGGAGGTAGACAGGTGGGGACAAGGAGCCTGGACTCACCAGCCTCTGCATTCCAGGGCACTGGGGCTGCACGGTGAGAGGCAGCCAGCGCATCCTCTGCTGGCCCCAGCTCGGCAGCTCTGCTCACCTGGTGGCCATGGAAAGCACCAGCCCATCTTAAGACCCGCTGCAGCGCGGCCAACCTCAGACCAGCGTGGGGACCCTCGTGCTTTCCCCTCCCCAGCAGGAGAATCAGCACTTTGTCCCTCGGGTGAATCCTCGCCTCTGCTTTCTCCAGAGAGCAAGAAAACTGAACTCCTGGATTAACTAAGTGACAGTATTTTTGTTTGCACTTCCTACACATCCCACTGTGTAGAACCTCTACAGAGTCAAACAAACTGTATTCTTGTACAGTTTTAATCAGTTCTTAAGGTAGAATCTGGAGTCAAGCTCTAATGTGTTTTGTTTTATAAATAATATATATTATGTATATGAAATGTGTATCTATAGTATGTCTGTTCAGAGACAGACAAGGCTGCACAGTAAAAGGCAGATCCAGGTGACGTGTAGAAAATCGAAAGGTACTGGACTTTGTTACAAAGCAACTCGGGCCATCGCTTCTCCATGAGCAGATGAAAAAGATTTTATTGCCTAAGAAAGAGGTTGCAAAAATCCCTCTTTACAGAAAAGGTTGCAGATTGCTGTTCTTTATAACCAAAGAACCTACACGGGACAGCACATCTTTGCTGTCCCCTCTTGTTTTGTGTGAGCGTATACGTTTGACTGCAAGTTTGGTGCCATATTTCCCTTGGCTACCAAGCCACCGTGCTGCCCTTCTCTGTCCTCTGTTTCACAAGCACACTGAGGAATCTCACAGCTGTATTCTTTGGTCTTCCACCGGCCTGACACCTGCTGACCTGACATTGTATGATAACCTTGACAAGGCCTGGGGCCTGGCTCCAGCCCAGCTTCCTACACAGTGACCAGTGGTGTCCAGTGGTGGGGCCAGCCAGACAGGTGGGATGCAGAGAGCAGTGTTAATGTGAGCCAACAAAGGGCGGACTGCGAGTTGGGGTGGGGGCTGGGGAAGGGTGCTGATGTGGGGTTTTGCGGGTTGGTCGGGGATTGGTAGATTTCATTGTGGTGTGGTTTTGCTGCTGCTGTTTTGTTTGATTCTGAAAAATGCTGAAGAGGCGGACTGAGCTATATATGAATTTCACCGGTTCACGTGACACCGTGTCTGCAGGAGACGGCTGAATACGGACGACCCTGCTGTTGTGTCTTCACTTGTAAAATTCTCCTGCAAATGGAGATGTTGTACAATATGTGTGTACAGGAGTAGCCTACGTCCCTGTGCCGGAGACGCCTGCACCGCTGGTCCGGCTGCCCAGCTGTCTACGGGTGGTGAAAGGAGGCGTGAGACCGTGCGCAGCCCGCTCTACCTTTCTCCTTCAAGTTCGTAGCATTGGGAAATGAGGAGACATTGGAGACTTTATTGAAAAGCTGCTGTTCATGATTTTTGTGTATAGTGAGCTGACTGTAGTATTTTACTATTGTCTGTTTTAAAGGAAGAAAAACTGTAATTTATATCCCCTTTCGACTTTATTGTATTTAATTGGTACAGATTTGTTGTGTGTGTTTTAGAATACAAACTGTCTAATTCAGATTTTAAAACGTCTGTTGTTGGTCTTTCGTAATCCTGCCCTTCGTTTCTGATCCACTTTACGTATTTGCATATATGTATGTCACTGGAGCGGTGAACAGTGTCACATTTGTGGGGGTTACTGAAGGCTGGTCACTGCTCCAGCATTGGATATCTATTATCATTTAATCTGAGAGTAATCACAGCCGCTGTTGTCTTTAAGGGTCTGACAAATAGAAAGCTGACCCAGGACTTGGTGATGGAGTCCTGGCAAAGCCGGGAGGCAGCCCACACTTCCCTCAGCCTCCCTCTGTGCTGCTTGGTGACGTACTTGGATGGAGGGCTGGGCAGCTTCAGAGGGCAGGAGGTGTCACAACTCCCTGGCTGACCAGCACTCTGGTGTGGGGGGGAGGGGAGTTCTGGAGTGGGTAGGACGTGGGTTACCATGCTCAGCAATGCCTAGGCAAACCCTCACAGCAAGTAGCAGTGCCCCCTCGCCCACACACACACACTTGGAAATGGTGGCTAAAGATGGCTTACTATGAGAGTTTTGTTAAAAACGATATTATTACAGAATGTTTTCAGGAAAATCTCAGCTCAGCTGTTCACAAGAGCCTTTCTGAAGTCACCAAGAGTTAGATCTATACAGTGCTTTATAGAGACTTCCAGGAGGAAATAGAGAGGGGGAGAAAAAACTCAGAACTTACTCAAATTTTATAGTCTAGGTTCAGCAAGAGAGAAACTCAACTATTTAACGCTTAAGCCAATGGTAGAAACTGGAAATACTGTTCAAGACAAAAATGAACAAATCTGCCAGGCTTACTGGTGCACACCTGTAAATACCTGCGACTCAGGAGGCTGAGGTAGGAGGATTTCAAGTTCTAGACCAGTCTCAGCAATTTAGCCAGGCCGTAAGCAACTGGAAATGTGGCTTAGTGGTGAAGCGCCTCTGCGCCCAATCCCTGGTACCAAAACAACAAGAACAAATTAACATTCCCCTTGCTGGTGTGAGATCAGTGGTACTTGGGACATTGGCATTGTCACTTGTTATGATTATAAGAGAACAAATTGGTTTGGGGACACAGTCTATTGAATATATCAGTACAGGCATGTGTTGAACAGTTAATTTCCTAAGTCCAGTGTTACCAGTGTCGTCATATTTGTGTACGGTCATTTGGACACATTTTCTCATAACAGAAATATAGCTTGTGTCTCTATGGCACTGACTTATGGTAGGAAAACTTTACAAAAATACCTTTAGGGTTAGGTAAGGGCAACACAGTATCTTCTACTAAATTATACCGCCCCAGCCAATTTAAGTTACAATATTCAAGCCTTGGAACTACGCTGGAAAGAGAGACAACTAATTACATGATTAAGCTTTATTTTAAAAAGTAAAGCTTTCTGGTTACATAATGAGAGTCTTGGAGGAAAGTGTAATTGATGAAGATTTTTTGCCCTCTTCTTTCTGGACCAACAGCTAACAGAAAAGCATGCTGCTGGCCCAGTCATGTCGAAAGCTTTCCGTACTCAGCCTTGATCTCCTACAGTGACAGCAGTGCCCGTGTTTTCCTGAGCCTACTTCCCAAGTTAAAAAACAGGAACGGAAGGCCTGTCTATGGTCTGTGGCAGGTGTCTGGGGTTTTCTGTCCTCGCAGAAAGGCTCCAAGGCCAGCGGCTTCCCACCAGACATCCTGGAGGGATCTGTGGCCTCTCGCTGGTGGGGCAGTGGGACCTAGATGGCCCCATGGAAGGCGAGAAGACGCTGAAGGGGAGCTCTGTCCTTCCGAGAGCATGAGCCAGGGCTGAGGGGAGCAAAAGCAAACCCCAAAGTCTAAATGTAATGAGCTTGTCTTTTATTCTTTCTTTCTTTTTTTTTTTTTTTTGGTGCCAAGGATTGAACCCAGGGGTGCTTACCCACTGAGCCACATCCCCAGCCCTTTTTTATATTTTATTTTGAAACAAGGTCTCACTAAGTTGCTTGGAAAGAGGTGAACCAACGTGAAGGATAGCATGACAAGACCAAATATACATCTAATACGAGCATCAAAGGAAAGAGGCATAGGAAAGCAGAGGTGTCATTGTGAAAATTTTCCAGAACTGGTGAAAAGCATGAGTTCTCAGATTCAGGAAGTACAATAATTCCATCAAGAGAAAAACTAAAAAGTCAACAATTAAACATATGACATGAAATTGCCAAACTCCAAGGATAAAAATATTTTAAAAGTATTCAGAGAGCCAAATGCCATGGTACATGCCTGTAATCCCTCCCAGTGGCTTGGGAGGCTAAGGCAGGAGGATCGAGAGTTCAAAGCCAACCTCAGCAAAAAGTGAGGTGCTAAGCAACTCAGTGAGACTCTGTCTCTAAAAAAAAATACAAAATAGGGCTGGGGATATGGTACAGTGGTGGAGTGCCCCTGAGTTGAATCCCCAGTACCCATCCCCCCAAAAAAATATTTAAAGAAAACAATTATTAGCTATAAATTAATCACAGTTAGATTAACAGTGACCTTCTCAAACATCAAACACACCAATAGAAATCTGGGGACATAGCTCAGTTAGTAAAGTGCTTGCCTTGCATGTATGAGGTCCTGGGTTTAATCCATAGCAACACAAAAAAGAAAAAAAAATTATACCAATAGAATTCATAAGACAATGGAATAGTTTCAAAATTCTGAAATTGTCAACTTATTTAGTTGCCAGTTACTTAAAGATTCAAGAATGAAGGCTGAGGCTGTGGCTCAGTGGTAGAGTGCTTGCCTAGCATGTGTGAGGTATTGGGTTCAATTCTCAGCACCGCATGGTAAATGAATGAATAAAATAAAGGTTCATCAATAGCTAGAGAGAGAGAGAGAGATTCAAGAATAAGAACAAATAATAACATTTTAGCCCAAGACTGAAAGAATTGACTACCTGCAGACAATCCCACTAAAAGAACTATTTAAGGTAATACTTAAAGAAGGAAATGAAAGCCGAGTACACCTCATCCTAGCCACATAGGAGGTCGAGGCTGGAGGATCATAAGTTCTAGGTCAGCCTGGGCAACTTTGTGAGACCCTGAATCAAAATTTATAAAGGGCTGCAGATATAATACAGTGGTACAGCACATGCCCAGCATGCATGAGGCTCTGGGTTCAGTGTCCAGAAAGTGGGGGGAGAAAAAAAGAAGTCCAGAAGGAAGATAAAGGCATGAATGGTGAGGAAAGAAATCAGTCAATATGTGAATAAATCTAAATGAGCATCAGCAAAATAAAACCTGTGTGGGAGCAATAAAATGGAAGTGGGACTCAAATATGGTCAAGAGAGTCAACAGTAAGGGAGGAGGGACTGGAGTGGAAGCATTCCAGAATATCTGTGTTGCTTTGGGGGAGGATGGAGATGTTGATCCATTTTATTTTAACTAATCAATTTGTTCTAATCGGTTATACATGACAGCAGAATGCTCTTGGATTCCTTGTACACAAATGGAGCACAATTTTTTACTTCTCTGGTTGTACCCAAAGTAGGGTGCTGATCCAGCTCATGTGAAAGTGACAAAGTGATCTCTCAAAAAGAAAAAAAGTTACTTCCAAACCAAGGACTGGGGGAGAGCAAGGTAACACAACCAGCAATCTATTAAGAGGAAGAATGAAGTGGGAAAAGCAGATGGAAATTTCTTTTAAAAAGGCAGCAAACAAGATGAAAAGGTAAAAACAAATCCGAATAAATCCATATTCAGAATACATCTAAATAGGCTAAAATTATCTTTTTTTTTTTTTTTTTCTTAAACAAGATTTTTCTTTTTCCTCCACAAGGACTCTCTGGGTAGCACGAGGGCAGGGGAAGTACTTAGGCTTCGTGATGTTCTAGGCATAAGTGGGGGAAGGGGCTGGGTCCAACCCCACGTCCAGTTTGAAGGTGTTCCCATCTCGGTCGCGCGCTGTGCTAAGTGAATACGTTCAACTAAGCCTCTTCCTCTGGATTCTCAAGTCCCTGGAGAATGCACCCCTAGGCTCTTATGGGGTGGGAGACAAACTCCCTTTCCTAGCTGCTCTGGGTGGGAAAGAAGAGCCGTGCAGTCAGCGGTGTGCCCCAGACACTGTACCCATCTTGTGTTCAGCCAAGGGCCAGTCGTACCAAGAGCCTCCTTGAGGGTCTCCTTACATTTTGTCTGATATGCCTACGGCTGGTCCTTCAGCTGTCATTTCCCCTGCCCTGCTAAATGAGTTTCTCTCTCCCCAAGTTGTAATAAAATATTTTTTCCATGGGGGTCATCTGTTCTTTCTCCCTGGTAGTTTAATGATTTTATTAATTCATTTACTGTCACACATGATAAGTTTAGAGAGGGAGAAGTTACAAACCATGTGACTAATCTGCCAGCTTTAATCAGAAGCCACAGATCCAACTATGCTATGACTAGAAAGATTGACAGCCAATACAAACAATGTGAAGCACCATCATATAGAAGAGGAAGAGGACTCCAAGTGTAGGTGACCCTCTGTAGAGATCTATGACAGAGGCTTGCAGGGACTAAATTAAAATCAGTTTTCATAGCAAAAAGTTCACAACAGATGTACCAGAAGGTCAGAGATCAGAGAAAATCTAGTAATCTCTTCTGTCCCACTTTTTGTTCACTTCTCTTCAGTAACATAACTAGGTAATAATACATGCGTTACTTGAAGGAGGATTTAAATTTTTTTTTTTTTACACAGACTGTTAGGATCTCAAGATCAATGAGATCAATGAACAATATAAAGGCTATTCCTTGAAGTGCATGAAAATCAGCGCAGAGATCATTGGAATTAAATGGCATTTAGATGCTCAGTTACTTTTGCTTGGAGCATGGGAAGCAATATAGTTTATTGGCTTTTGAGTCAGAAAGAACAGGGTTCAATACCCATCTCTATCAATTCCCATCTCTATCAGTTCCCATAACCAAACCAAAACAAAGAAGAACAGACACACCCCCCACTCTGACATTGGACAGCTAGATGACCTTGGGCAAGTTATTTAACATCTCTGAGCCTCAATTTCCTCATCTGAAACCATAAAATGGAAACCATATTCCATTTGTCACAGGATGGTTATGAAAATTAAGTGGGGTGCTACATGGAGAGGGTCTGGTGCTCGGCCTGGCATGCTGTAGAATCTCAGTGCATGTCCCCTCTGTGTCCTCTCCACACCCTATCATCCTGGTGCTATCCATTTCTTGTTGCCACTAGTGAGAGAGAAATGAGATGTACATTAATAAATAATATGATCTTTAAAAATTACTCTGTGATAACAAAATAACATCATTCCCCAAATGGTGTAGAAATACACTGGAATTTTGAGTCAGGAGATGTCCATTCTTCACTAAGTCATTGATTGTGGCTGAGTATACAGCCTGAGCTCTCGGGCCCTCAATTTCCTACAATGAGAGACAATAATGGCTCAATACAAGTTTATTAAATGAACAAATGAATAACAAAATGGAAATAAAATCCCAAATGGACGAACCACTCCAATGAACAAGGGCTTTTGTTTAAAGTAGAGATGCCTAAACCAACACAAGTCTGAGGGAGTAGCAGCTTTTCAGCCAGAGGTGCAAGACTTGTGGAGGAAGCCTTCGTGAGGTTCAGGTTCATGGAGGCTGAGACTCCAGGGCTCCAGAGCTCACCAAGGAGCAGCCTGAGTTTTCCCATGTGACCCTCCCCGTCCTGACTCCCACTCAGAAAAACAGCTGTCCCCGGCAGAGACCACTGTCCACCCCAGAAAGCATGGATCTCCATTTCCAGATAGAATAAACCCTAAACAGAATGGGCACCTGTAGGCGAAGTTGGAGAAATAACTCACCGATCAATGGTGGCACCAGCCTAGGAGAACTTGAAGGTTCCTTTTGACACGTGCATGAAGTCTGATTTCTTTGGTCCCTAACAAACCCCATCTCTGTACCAAATGTTCAGCGGGGATAAAAAGGACATTCTTTTCAGAAGAATGATTTTCTTTCTTTATGACATTTAGTAGAGTGCTCTGCAGGCAGTTGATACTTCCTGGTCAATCAGGTACTGATGCTTAGTCAACTTTAAGGGAAAAGATATTAATAACTTACGCCTGGAGTGTGAGGGCTCTTGGAATAAGGTAATCTGCTCAGTGCCAAGAAGTTCCCTTCTCTGCCTGCTGCTGGGCCTGCCTATCCCCCTCATGATTTACACCCTGGCCATTGTTATTGAACATGGAGTAGGATTCTGATGTCATAGTAACAATATGTGACTTTTTTGTTGAGTTAAGTCAATAAATATAGCTGACTTTGATCAATATCAACAACCATCCCAGGGGGTGAGTCTTCCCAATCGTTGCTTGTGAATGATTTTCAGTCAGTGTGTGACGCCATCATCTTTCTCTAGGACTTAATCCTTTTTAGGAGTTCCAATTTAGCTCAGCACTCCTAACCTCCTTCTGGAATCAAATAGGTCAATGATACTGCCAGCCTAATATGTCCTACCTAGCCAGCTTCCATTTAAAAAAGGGTAAGCTGTTCTCTCCAAATAAATTAACAAGAAATTAAACAAATCAGTAAAGCCATCTATAGAGATTTCACTTTGTAATTTGTCTACTTTGGGATATTTATTAGTTACATAGACCCTTTCTTCTAGAAGTATCTCTGAACCTTGAAAAACTAGGAGGCTTCTATATGCTAATGATTTTCCCTAAGAATCAAGCAGTATTTAGGTCTCTGGGAAATATTTTTGCACTGAACACAGCTTGAAGACCTGGATGCTCTTATGTGGTCCATTAGACTCAGAATTTCTTCTTGGAACATGGAAAGGAGATTAAAGGATGAGAAAAATGGGATTAAAAACCAGTAAGAGTAGATGAGACATGTGAACACCTGTTTGGCCTCTGCGTTATCCTCTCTTTCTAAGATGGATACAGGGGGCTGGGGTTGTGGCTCAGTGGTACAGCGCTTACCTTGTATGCACAGGCCCTGGGTTCCATCGCCAGCACCTATATAAACAAACAAACAAATAAATAAATTTATTGTGTTCATCTACAACTAAGATAATATTTAAAAAAAAAAGATGGATACAGAACTCCACTCTAGATTTTCATTCTATGCAAGGGAACTTAAGAAAGAAAGATAAAGAAGTCAGGATGTGGAAAAGAAAATGACTTGCAGAGAGTTGTACCCAAAAGGAGGTCAGAGGACCAGTACAACTGAGAACAGAAGGGAAAAAAACTGGGGACTGGGAATATAGCCTCGTGTAGAGATTATGCTTAACTTGCATAAGGCCCTGGGTTTGATACACACACACACACACACACACACACACACACTTCTAGGTTTAACCTAGAGGTTCTGTAGGTCTGGGACATGGACTGAGAATCCATACGTTGGATTCATCCACAATGATTCCAGATTTGTGGACGACCGTGAAACGAATTAAACAAATTAGGAACTAATTTTTAGCTCTGGCCTTGAAAATAGGGCTGAGGATGTTTAAAGTTGGTTGTCAGGATACTTTCCTCTCTATTCTCTCACCTCCTCTCCCTACTTTCAAGCAGTTAAACCATTTGTGTTCACCAGGGTGAAAAGGGAATAACCCTTCAGTGTCTTCCACAAATCTGAGATCCTTGGAGAAATAGATAAAAGCATTTGAGAGCTGCAGTGTGGAGTGTTGAGGAGGGTGAGGCTTCCCTCCAGTCACTGCTAGAAAAAGATGGTCCAGGCAGAGAAGAATTAGAGAGAGGAGCCCCAGAGGACCCAAGTGCCCTTGGACCCTCCCTGGGGTGAAGACGTGTTTGTGGGAGTTAGAGGAAGAGTAGATCCTGCAGATTCCCAGCCCAGTGATAACACCCTAGCCATCCTGTGGCCACACTGCCAGAAGTTTTAGAGCCTTGGCTTGATACAAGGCTGTGAGCTGCTGCTGCTGCTGCCTCTGCCTGCAGAGAACAGGGAGGGAACAGAAAGCAGCAGGATTGAAGGGGCCAGGTGGACAAATCAGATTCCTTGGCCTCTTCCTCAGTTCTGGGGGATCTCATAGTTTTTTGCAATTATTTGGGGACACAGTTTGTTCCTTTGCAAACTTGGGTCAATGTATCTCTGTCAAGTACATTCTGTAACCTGGCCTTTGGTCCTGAAGAATTAATTTGGAACTAAAGAACTGAATGGCGCCCTCTGCTGAAAAGTCACTGAACTGTCCTCAGGGACTGTGAGTGCTGGGCACAGTCTCTTTGAGCTGGGCAGTGGGAACCATGATGGTTTATATGAAATTTTTGTTGTCTGCCTTCCAAAAATTGCTTAAAATGTAAAATATCAACTTAAAGCCATTTAAATAAATAAAGCCATTTGTGACATATTTCCAAAAGTAAATCTATGTGAATAAGCATTTAATTAAAATACTTAAGTATGACCATCTCTACTTGTCCCTAAATGGTAGAACCTATGCTGTGATCACATTTTTATTTGCAGAATATGTGGCTGGAATACAGCGAATATTTGTTGGATGTCTTTTTTTTTTTTTTTGCATTAGTAGGGATTGAACCCGAGGGCACTCTACCACTGAGCTGCATCCCCAGCCCTTTTGAAAGTGTTGGTTTTAAAAAAATTTTTTTTAGTTGTAGACGGACACAATATCTTTATTTATTTTTACGTGGTGCTGAGGATCCAACCCAGTGCCTCATACATACGAGGCAGGCGCTCTACCACTGAGTGCAGCCCCAGCCCCTAAAAGTGTTTTATATTAAGACAGTGTCTCCCTAAATTGCTGAGGCTGGACTCACTTCTGCCTCAGCCTTCCAAGTCACTAGGATTACAGGAATGTGCCACCACACCTAGCTATATGTCATTTTTTAAATGTTTGTTTTGTTTTGTTTTAATTAGTTACACATGACAGTACAATGACCTTGACATATCATACATTTGAATCAGATGGGATATCTCATTTTTCTGAGTATACAGATTGCAGAAAGTATGTCAATTTTTAAAGTACTGTGTGTATCTTTTTCTCCTTAGTTCACAGTTCCTATTTTGGTACTGCCTCTCAGGGAAGGCACTGTGTTGATCTGATTGCATAAAAGTGATATTACTGGCCTGGGGCTGTAGCTCAGTAGTACGAGTACTTGCCTAGCATGTGTGAGGCCCTGTGTTCGATCCTCAGCACCACATAAAGAAAAATAAATAATGGTATTCTGCCCATCTACAATTAAAAGATTAAAAAAAAAAGTGATATTACCATTTGTCTCTGGCATGGCAATTAGTACATGGTCTGAGAAAAATTGTGTTTAAAAGGAAAGGGGAGATTAAAAGTACCTTAACAATGAAAGCTAATCTTAACAAATTTTATTTTGAAGTATTTTTCCAAATACACAAAAAAAATTTGCATAACATAAAAGTTGAAGAAAATAAAGAATTGAAAAAACGTGCATGAACAGGTGTTTAGGATACTTTCCTCTCTATTTAGGCCAGAGCTAAACACCATTCAGTAAACATTTATCCCGTTTGTGTTTGGCACTATGGATACAAAATGTCAGGAAAACGTGAAGTGACAATAAGGCGAGGCTTTTCTTTCCTTTGTATTATTTATTAGTCCTTCATTATTTACGACGCTAGTGACACTCTGGTCTTCTGTGACACCATTTCTGCAAGGTATCATTCATCTTTCCTTCGTTCATTTTACAGCTTTTGAATTTGGGTCAACAAGGAGCCAATCTGGACCCAGAAGAGTGACTTAACAGAGGGGAAAATACACCAAAGGTGAGTTCAGGCTGGCCGTGATCTGGTAGGATTTTTGAGAGTGTTTTCAGAAGGGGCGAGCTGAGACTGTCATTCAGAATTGAAGGTCTGCCATCCCCTTTCCCCTCTCAGCCTCCCTCTCTTTCCTCTGACACCACCCCTTAAACTTCTCCCCTTGCCTTTTCTACACTGCTGGTGTATATAGGAATTTTTTGGCAGAAAGTTGCTAGAGAAATTTAAACTGATGACCTGACTTGTCTTGTGTAGATCTAATTTCCTAATTTCAGGCTGTACTTGTCCTCAGCCTGAAATTAGGAAAGATGCTGAGAAGTGTTGCATTTCCCCCTCTCCATCAGTTTTTCATATTTTTCAAGGGACCCTAGTGCTGGAGGAAAAATGAAGTGAAAGTCAAAACCAAACCTTGAGAGAGAAGGACCATGGCCGGTGTGTGAGGAAGCCTAGCTGCAAAGGTAGACCCCATGAGGAGTAAGGGGAGAGGCATGTTCACTGCAGCCGGTGGTGGACAGGGAAGAGTGGGGGCTCCTTCCCATCTGTGTAGACCCGCTCCTCAGTCCCCAGAGGCAGACCATGACTGCTTTGCACAGTGACTGCCATTCGGCGTGGACTTCAGGATGAGTGAGGCAAGCAACTGCACTTCAGCATTGATTAGCAAGGATGATGCTCCAGCCATCATGGGTCTCAGGCCTTCAGCTGGAGGGATGGGCCCACAGGTGCTTCTCGTAAGTGCTTCTCAGTGGCTGCTGATTCAGTGAAGGGGCAAGATTCTCCGCCCCTGCAAGAGATAGAGAGATTTGACTGTTCCTCATTTAAAGCAGTTCGGGGGTGGCTTGGGCTTAATTGGGGCTGGTAGAAGCTGTTTGTCATTGGCTTTGGGCCTCTGTGGCGACCTCTGACGTGATATATCACGTGTGTACGTGGTGAGCATCAGCCTTTGTGTGCAGAGATCTCTCTCTCTTCCTAGCGGGGAGCAGTATGACCAGTTCTGCTCTGTGTCTCTACTGCCTTGAGTTTGTCCGGCTATGTGGCCTGTTTGATACTGAATGTGGAATGACACAGCTTTGGTCATTTTTACTTTGGAGAGAACATTTGAAGAGTTCTGTTTGTTGTTTGCGTTCTGGTTTTGAAGACCCATATATTTTTGTTAGCTCAAGATATCCTATAATGGACCCAAACAAGGTGAGCCATGTCATGGCCCCAAGCCAAACATGAGTTGGCGGTGTTGGCTTCAAATCATTTTAACTAATCACTATGGGTGGCTAATTGCTCTGTTCAATTAACTCTGCCACCTACGATAATGGAAAATAAGGATGTACTAAATCACTGTTTCAGGTAATAGTGTAGCTTCCTTTGGAAAAAAAAAAAGCTAATGAAAATAATCATTAAAATGTTTAATTTCTGTTCACTTTGGTGGTGAAGGTGGAACTTACCAACTGGTAAATAAGATGGGAAAAATCTACATGTTCCATAAGCTGTCAATCCATCAACTCTTAATTCTTGGTTGTTGTGGATTCATGAGGATCAGAAATTCCTAGATGGTCTCTTTTTGGGGGGTCTAGTTATGTCATTATCCTGCATCGATGTGAATCTCACAGGAGCAGCTGTGGTTCTCTTTGGCTTGTATGAGGGGAGATGCACGTGAGCACTTAAATCATAATTTTCCATTTTTTGGTACTGCACCACTTTTTAGGCCTTCTTGTTGTAGGAGTCAAGAACTCTAGATGTGTTGTGGGAAGACTACTATGCATGACCAACTTCAAGGGAATTTTTGAACCAAAGGATCCTTTATGGTTATAAAATTGAAATTTGACAGAAGAAAAAGTTTTGGAGAAAATACTGTATCTACACATCATTGTGGCTTCATTGTGCCTCTTTGAGAGGTCAATATAGTCTGAGGAGGCAATCTATTTGCTTTTCTGCTTTATCAAGGAGAAAGCAGCTATCATACCTACCTTTAAAGTTTTACAGTTCAAGAAAGTGAAATCTACAGATTTTATTCTAAGTTACCTGACTTTTCATCTGGCATTTTGGATACTAGATAATAAATGATCCAGTCCCCAAGAATATCCCTTACTTGCTTTTGCATACTTTTCTTCCTTAAAAATGCTTTGTGAGGCTGAGCACAGTGGTAACACCTGTAATCCCAGAGGCTCAGGAGGCTGAGGCAGGAGGATCATGAGTTCAAAGCCAGCCACAGCAAAAGCAAGGTGCTAAGCAACTCAGTGAGACCCTGTCTCTAAATAAAATACAAAATAGGGCTGGGGATATGGCTCAGTATTTGAGTGACTGAGTTCAATCCCCAGCACCAGCCCCCAGAAAGACTTTGTGATTACTTCAGAAAAGTCATAGTAATGATTTACCACTAGTTTTCTGGCATTTCTCTCTGCTCATGGCTTTTTTTTTTGCACTAGGAATTGAACCCAGTGGTGCTTCATCAATGAGCTGTATCCCTAGCTCTTTTCATTTCCAGATGGAATCTTGCTACATTGCTTAGGGCCTTGCTAATTTGGTGAGTTGACCATAAACTCTCAATCCTCCTGCCTCAGCCTACTGAGTCACTGGGATTGCAGGCATGCACTGCCACACCCAGCTGGTCATAGGCTCTTGATTTATGGTTTACTCTACATCTATGTCTTCTGGTTGTTGTCTGTCATGAATTAATTCTAAAAGAAAAGTTTTATAAGAAGGCTGTTTGGGAATTAGCAAAGTGTTTTTCAAATATCTCCACTCAAGGTTATTTCAAAACTAATCTTTGGTTTCAGATTCTTAACATTTCAGATGTGCCTAATAAATTCTGGTGACACAGTTGATTTTCAAAACAGTGCTTTTCAATTTAATGTGCATACAAGTCACCTGGTGATCTTGTTCATCTGGAGGTGCTGATTGAGTAGGCCTGGAAGGGACAGAGATGCTCTAGGCTAACAAGCTCCCAGGGGATGATGCTGCTACAGTCAGTGAGCAGCAACGGACCAAAAGCCACTGTTAGTTTAAACTAGGTAGTTTGTGCTTTTCAGGTGGAGGTGGTGGGGTGATGTGTACATTAGGGTTGTTTCCATACTAATTAGAATAATGCACTTTAAAAGAAAAGCTTTCACAAGTTAGGGTCTGATCAATTGGAGTATTTTCTACAAATGCCGTTAAAAAATAAAGAAGCTTGGTACTTGGTGTTAGCAATTTGAATTTTGGGACTCTTAATTGTTTTATACTTGCAACCATAATGATGAGTCTGGTTAAAGTAACTGATCAGTTATATTTTTTAAAAAACTCTAAAACTGAACAAGCCAATAGGTTGTTTGTATGGAATAGATTCAATAATGTGTTAGAATTTATACTGTAGAATTCTGTAGGTGAATTGTGTCAAGAACCTCGTGGTCAGTAGAGCATAATGCATTAAACTTTAAGAGAACTCAGTACAATCCTTAGAGGATACAGTTGTATTCAATGACATACCAAATGCTAACAGCTCAACATGTATTAAATGGCTCTCAATAAATAATTGTTTTCTTTTCTTTTTTAAAAATTTTAATTAGGTATATGACAGCAGAATGTATTTTGATTCATTGTATTCAATTGCAGCACAATTTTACATTTCTATGATTAAATAACTGTTTTTATTTTTGTTTATATTTTTGGTACTGGAGATTGAACCCGGGGTGCTCTACCATTGAGCTACACTACCAGCCTTTTTTATCTTTTGAGACAGACTCTTGCTAAGTTGTTGAGGGTCTTGTGAAGTCGCAGAGGCTGTCCTCGAACTTGTGATGCTTTTGCCTTAGCCTCCTGAGTTGCTGGGATTACCAGCATGCACCACGGTGCCCAGAATATTTGTTTTTTAATCATTTGATTTCAGTTGATGATTCACTAGCTGTCTTTAATGTTAGGATGGGAATTGACCTTGAATTGATGGGAACTGACCTGAATTCAGTTGTCATTTTATCCAAACAATTTCATTCAAAAATGATGAATTTAGGGGCTGAGCGTTGTGGCGCATGCCTGTAATCCCAGTGGATCAGGAGTCTGAGACGGGAGGATCTCAAGTTCAAAGCCAGCAATGGTGAGGTGCTAAGCAACTCAGTGAGACCCTATCTCTAATAAAATACAAAATAGAGCTGGGGATGTGGCTCAGTGGTTGAGTGCCCCTGAGTTTAATCTCTGGTATGCCTCCACCCACAAAAACATAATGAATTTAAAAATTTGCTTTGAGTTACATGTGTTTATGTTCATTCATGTAGTCAGGAAGAAGAAAAATCTAACGCATGTTGGAATCATGTGATAGATGTAATTAATCAAAACTTGGTTACATTAGTTAATTCATTTCATCTTAAATATTACTTTATTCTCCAAAGACAGAAAATATAATAAGTTAATGAGAGTATACTGATTTATATCTTTAAAAATCTTCCCACTGCCATGGCCCTTCTTCCCCTAAAATACAAACAAGCAAAAACCTCCAATAACTTTCTAGAATTTGAACTCTGCATTGTCATATTTATTGAGTTTCTCCAGCTGTGATTGTATATAGAATGTGAATCTCACTACTTTAACATTATTTTTCTATCTAATGAAATGCTTGGTAATAATTATCACATGATATGTGAAGCTCAAGGAGATCTATCTAAAACTACTTAACAAAGTAGACATCATAGCACATGCCTCATTTTTTTATCTATACAAAGTAAACACATAAAACTACCTAACTTCCTTTCATTGTCATCTTTAAATGATCGTCTTACCTTTTAAAGAATAAAGGAAGGCTATTTTTTAAATCCAGGATGGACTTTGACCAAATTTATTTCTTTTGCAATTAGTGGATATTCTTCATCTATTAGTGAAAGGCCAGCAGCTTCTGTATTTGCTGATTTATGATTGGCAGATGGTTACCATGTCATAGGGGAAAAAATAAAAAAAGTTTCTTGAAGAAATACTGTAGTAGTAATAGGATTTTCATGAGCTGAGTTGTCTCCCAATAAACTATTTGTTTCAGCTAAAAACAAAAAATAAAACCAACTGGGTCCAGGTTCATTGCAGATTTCTTCCTCTTATTTCTTGTCTGGTACAGCTTTCAGTGAATCAGTTACATGAATGTAGGACTACTGTATCATTGTCCCTTTAAATATTGTTATGCTTCCAAGAAATACCTGTGGAATGAGGGAAACAATTGAGAGCAAGGCTAAGAGAGATGTGCATTTTCCCCAATTTCCTCAAAATTCTACCCATCTTCTACTCTGAAGTTTTATCTAGGTTTGGCCCAATTCTTTTACATGTTTCTTCCTTTCAAAGCTTGGCTGTGAAGGCTGTCCCTCTCAAGAAGGAGATGGTTTCCTGTGCCCGAAATTTTGATTCTGATAGGGTGAAAAGGAAGATGAGATGTGGATACAGTTCAATCTCCTACAATTGAAGACCAATTAAAAGATCAGGTACAGATCTTCCCTGCCAGTAAGCACCAGGAATCACCTTACTCTGCTTGGCAAATACCTACCTAAGAAAAGAAGAGGATTTCTTCTAGTTGCAATGGCTTAGGCCAGTGATCCCCATGATTTGGGAGGCTGAGGCAGGAGGATTGCAAGTCTGATGCTAGCCTCTGCAATTTAGTAATACCCTGTCTCAAAATAAAATAATAATAATAATAAGGGCTGGGGATGGAGCTGAACGGAGTGCCCTGGGTTCAGTCACTAGTACTGGGGGGGGGGGGAAGATGCAGTGCTTCAGGGGGAAGAAAATACCTGGAGAGTCTGTGGGGTAATAGCAGTAGAGGGAAGCTAGGACTGGGGAGAAGAAGAAGTAGACTAATTCTGTTTATCATTTTTGGCAACTTGTCTTAGTGGATATGGTCAGAGGTGCCACAGAAAGTCGTTTGCTCTGCAGCCTGTATCCGGTACAGCATGATTTCTTTAAGTGCTAAAAGGCATTACAAGTTGAAGGTACTAAAAGTTTGGTTTTACAATTTCACTTATATGATTTAAACAGTGACTTGAATCATACAGATTGGGGGTGAGAGGGTATAGAATTCTTGGAGCTTGTTATCTGTAGCTAATACCTTGTCAATATTGTTAGATGCTTTCTATCTGAAGTTACTATCTGAAGTTTCAGCAGGGCCACCACCCTGTTGAGGTCAATATTCACTCTATTTGCAGATGAGGAAACTGAAGCTTAGAAAGAAGATCAGTAACTTCTCCAAGGCTACACAGCTAGTAAGTGATAGATTTGTGTATTTGATTTCAAAGTTATTATAGATTCAAAAATAATTGTCTCAAATAGAACATAAAGCCTATGGTTTTTCACAACAGATTTTTCTCCCTGATCTTTTGTTTTATTTTGTTATTGTCGTGCTAGGGATTGAACTCTAAGGTGCTTAACCATCAAGCCACATCCACCGGTCCTTTTTTATGTTTTACTTAGAGACAGGGTTTCCCAAAGGTGCTGAGGCAGGCTTTGATCTCTGGATCCTGCTACCTCAGCCTACTGGGACTACAGGCGTGCACTACTGCATCCAGATAGTGTCTCAGCTCTTACAGATGGGTTCTAATACTGGCTTTGACTGCCTAGCTCAGTGTCCTTGATGGTGCCAGCTACAATCTTTGAAAACCTCCATTTTGGAGGTTGAATGACAAACTGGACCAAATCGTTCTGTCAGCTCTTAGAATCTTTACAGGTAGTGAATTGAGTCTTTGAATCTGGCTTATTCAGTTTCCTAAATAGAATGCTATTTGGAAAAAAAATGTTTACCTTTAAAATTACTAGAAATATTATTACTTACCCATAGTGTTGGCTAACTACATTAGGTTATAACTGCATCCATTTACTGTGCTTCTTGCATACCAGTAAATACACTCAGTGCTGTACACAGATGATCACATTTACTCCTCACTATGGTTTTATAAGGTGGATTTTAAAGTTTCCCTTCTATAGAGGAGAAAGCCAAGGCCCAGAAGGTTTTGAGTCCTCCAAAGTCCAGTAGGCAGAGCGGCGAAGCCAGAATTCCAGCCCTGTGTGCTTGGCAGCAAAGCCCTTGTGTGTCTAAAGAAACACTGGTAAGCTGCATGTATTTTCCAGTTCTGCTTTAGGTCTACGGTTCATGGACCGTGCTTATTCAACCCCAGGTTTGCTTTTCTCTTTTTTCATCTTAATAAAACATCAACAGCTCCTGTCTTTGGTTTCACATGCACCTTCTGCCAGCTGAACCATGATGGGGAGAAGCAGAGTGGGAGCAGGTTACTGTGCTCAAGCCCAACGTCTCTCCAAGATCTCCTTTACAGCCCACAGCAGACGCGCCGCCCAGGCTTTGTGCCTCTGCCGGCAGGGCGCCACTCCTTCCGCGCGTCCGCGACCGGGCATTGAACTACGTTTCCCAGCGGGCCCCGCGGCAAGAGCGCGGGCTCGACCAGCCTTCCTTCCTCCTCGCCTCCCCCCGTCGCGGCGGTGATGATGCGCACGCGTCGGGCGCTGACGAGTGACTGTGCTCTGGCTCGCGATCGCGGCGGCGGCCTAAACAGCGGCAATAGGCGCAACAGCGGCGGCGACTGCAGGGACGACGACGACGGCGGGGCGGGCGCTGTACGCAGAGGGGAGGGGTAGGCGGGCGGCGCCGGCGGCTTCAACTGCGGCAGCGACAGCTAGGGCGACGGAAGAGGCTGCTCCGCCGGCCGGCGGTCGGGTTAGGCCTCAGCGGCGCCGGGAGCGGCTCGCGCCGTCCTCTGCGGGAGATCTCCATAGAGACCGTGACAAACAGACGCGGGGTCCGCGCTAGCTGCCGTTCTGGAGCCGGGTCCTCGGCCTCACCCTCCACCACCACCCCACCCCCCGCCGCCGGCGCGCGCGCACCCTCGGTTTCTGCTCGCGACCTCGCGGTTCTCCGTGAGTCTGTGCCTTACTGTCTGGGCAGCGCGGGCCGACTTTTGGGCCGGGACCGGGCGGGGGAGGCCCTAAGGCCGCCGCCTCTGCCTCTCCCGCCCGAAGCCGCCGAGGCTCCGCCATGGCCTCGGGAGCCGGAGGAGTAGGAGGGGGCGGTGGCGGCAAGATCCGGACGCGGCGCTGCCACCAGAGGCCCATCAAGCCTTACCAGCCGGAGCGACCGCAGCACCAGGTACGGGACGCGGGCGGCGGGCGGGGTCGGGTGTGAGGCCCCGGCGCCCCACGTGGGGAGCGGCCGGGAGGCCCGGGTAGAGGCCGGGAGGCGGCGACGGGAAGTGGGCTGCGCCAGGCCGGGCCTTGCGGCGCACACGTGGGGTTGGGCCGCCCTCGCCGTGCTCGGCCCGGGGCTGGCCCGGGGCTTTCCCGGGCGGGCGCAGGGCGGGAAAGGAAATACGGGGCTTGGGGCTACGTGGGCTTTTTTTTTTTTGGCGGGTTTTGGGGCTTTGACGGTATCACGCCCTTTGGAGGGGACAGGAAAGAGGTGGCTGGTGGCCCCGGAGCTGGCCGTCTAGAGGGGCGCGGGGAGGGGGCTGCCTGGACGGGCCTCGGGGCGCCGAGGAGCTGGGGGGCGCTCTAGGGCGCAGGGTGGCCCGAGGCCCTCGTCCCCTGCCCGAGGCCCTCCGGCGAGAACCGCGGCTTAGGTCCCCTCCTGGCCGTGGCTGCCGTGCGCCGGGGCGTTTTGAAAGTCCCTCCGCCCTTACGTCGGGCTCTGCGGCGCGACTCTTCCCTCCCTTTCTCTCCTCCCCCTCTGCATTTCGGAGGCTGGAGTCGGCCGATCCCCGCGGCTGGCCGGTCGCCGGCCCTGGGCTCCCGCACCTGGGGTCTTAACAGCCAGGTCGTGCTCCAGGGTTAGGTGCTCAGGACCCCGGGGGGGCCACCCTGCGCCCGCGGGATGCTGGAGATGGTGAAAAGGGGGTTCCTCGTGGGTGTGGGTGAGACGTTTGGTTCCGAGAAAATCGCGCTTTGAGACGGGGCTCTTCGGGAGGACTGAGCGGGAAGCCTTGCCCTGTTTTGGCAGAGCCTCTAGTAAAACCTCTCAGTGGCTCTAAGGTGGGGAGTGCGTCTTCAGTGCTTTCAAACTAAAGAGTACAGACCGCACAAGGACCTTGAGAACTTGTTGCATACTGTTAAAGGTACGTTTCCTCGATTGCTTGAACGTTGAACCCTTCAACGTTTTGTTTGGTGATATTGTTAAATTGTATCACTATCAACAGATTTTTAGAAGTAGAGATTTGAAGGAAATTTTATAATAGTGTAAGTCGTGTTTTATGTAGTAAGTCGTTTTTTGCGTGGTTAGAAGTCTGGACATTATTAACACTCCCAACAATTCCACCCCCCCCCCACCCCGCCCCCCAGCTTGGTTTTCAGAGTTCTTTGTGAGAAACAGGGGTGTTTGGAGACAGATTTAAGATTAGAATTCAGGTCACAAGCCTGACCATTTAACCTTACGTAATCCTTTGTGTATGGAAGTTAGATTTACGTGCTTTCTGTTTCTCCTAAGAATAAACTGAATGCTTTCCTGGATCTTATGCTGCTATAGAAAAAAATGAATTTTTAAAAATAAAGACCAATGAATGGTTTGGATTGAATTTAGAAGGGAAATTATATATTCTAGGGTGGCAAAAGTTACAATCACAATTTATTTTAAAAAGTACTTAGATAAAAATCTAATTTGGGAGGGATAATGCCTTAATAGTACAACACCTAAAGTCCAAGTTGTTTTTAGAGCTGCTATGATTTCAGGCTGTGTGGTTTTATTTTAAATCTTGATAATTTATCATCATTTCTTATCTAAAATACTTTTTTCTTGTACCAGCCATTTGATTGAAAAAGAAAATATATTTTAGCTTTTGAACTGGGATCTGAGATATTTAGGGGTTTCTTGATCACTTAATACTGGCAGAGACTACGTAGTATTGGGGGATATATTAAAGTATATTCTTCTTATTATTATTTTTTTCTCTTCATCTTAAAATAAGGACCTTTCTTAGTCCTTACTGGAACTTTGGTGGACCTGCTTGCTCTCAACTATACTAGACAATCCAGTGGATGTTTTGCAGCAGCTGCTGAGTCATCATGAATAGCAAGGAGCTTCATGACATGGCATGTTTTGTACTAATGTTAACTGATTAAGTGTTCAAGGTTTTCTGGGTGAAAATGAAGCCTTTGGTTTTGTAGTAGAAGGTTGGAATAAGAATGAGAGGTCTGGCACTGTTAGTTCATGGGTGTTTGCCAAACTCTGTCAGGCCAACTAGCTAGTGCAGTCACCCGGTACCTGTGACTTCTGCACATGTTCAGTTGACTTGTAATTTCCTGTTTTGACTTCTGGTTTAGCTCTGAGGGAAATGTGTAAAGATTAACATTTTCTCCTTGTAACTTATGATCTTTAAAATGTCACTGTGCTTGAAGATGTAGAGACAGAAATCCATTATCTTACTTAACTCACTGAGGGATAGTAACGCTTAAGAATTGTAGAATTGTTACCGCTGTTGACTAGTCCTTGCTTCCCCAATGTTGAAGTATAACATCAGAGAAGCATGCCGAGGCAAGGTCAGAGTGGAAGGTAGAAGTTTATTAAAGGACAGCAGAAAAGACTTCTCCCGAAGGAAGAAGGGGACCCAAGAGATAGAATCCATGGAAGTGCGGTTGTCTCCCCTTTTTATACCTAGGGTCTTCATCTGGTCCCCCCACCCCATTCCTGTCCTTTGTTCTGTTATCTTTCAGTGATGGAATGTAGGTGGGAAGGCCCGAAGGGTGGGGCACAGGTGGGCCAAAGAAGTAATCTGGGCAGGAAGGACTTTTGAGTCAGCATCTTCAAGTTTGCTGGGAGCTGTTTCATTAACACTCTGGGCTCTGGGCCTTGGGGACATTAATATTCCAAGAATTGTTCTGCTTTTCCCTGAATTCATTCTCAACATGGCCTCTATTTTGGATCTTACTCAATATTAGACCCGATTTACCTAACTACACTGACTACCTAACTTTAAATCTGGCTTCAGAAGCAAAAATGAAGAATAGCTTTGAACAGTGCAAGTTGATAATTTTCACTTGTATTCTTCTGCTTCTTATACCTTTTAGCTTAGACACTTTTATGAAGGGAATGGTATCATTTTTCTACTTGGGGGTGAATAGGTCATTAAAGAGAATGTGGTTAGTTCTTGTCACTTCCCATCTCATTTTTGTGTTGTTCTGCGGAGAGGTCAAACCTCTTGCCTTTTGTAATAGCTACTACAAATTATTCTAGCACATGAGCCAGCAATCAATTCAGAACTGAAAAAGAAAGGGCTTCTTCTGGAAGAAACTACTGCCACCTCCTGGTGAGAGGGAGTCACTTACTTTTTGCCTTCCAATTGGAGTTATGAGATTTGTCTTCTGGTTTGAAGCTAAGGGAGTCCACTCAGCAGTTTTGAGGCTATAAGCAACCTAGTGAGACCCTATCTCAAAATAAAAAGGACTGGGGATATGGCTCAGTGCTTAAACGCTCCAGGATTCAGTCCTTGGTACAAAAAAACAAAACAAACAAAAACAAAGATCAGGGGTTGGTAAACTTTTTCTGGAAAGGAACAGAAGGTAAATTTTTCTTTTTTTTTTTTTTGTAGGTGGCACAATACCTTTATTTTATTTATATTTATGTGATGCTGAGGATCGAACCCAGTGCCTCACATATGCTAGGAAAGTGCTCTACTAGACATGAGCTACAACCCTAGCCCCTCTCTCTCTCCTTTTTACAACCCTTTTGCATATGTTAAAACCATTCTTATCCTGTGTAAGAACAGGCTAAGGCCTGGATTTAGCCTACAGACCATAATTTGCTAAGCTGGTTTATATGATAGTGTGGTTTTTGTTTTGGTATCTTCTTTTTTGATACTCTGCCCCGGGTAAGTATGTCCTGTGTGCTCTCTGATGGCTAAAGTGTTTTTGGTTTTGGTAAGAAGGGATATTTAAAGGTTGAGTGTTAAACACATTCTAGAAGTCACTAAGTAGTTCTGACTTTTGTCTTTGTTTTATCCTAGATGCTTAATATTTTAAATGGATATAAAAATGGAAATAATTGATTGGAAAAACATACTCTAATGGGATTAACTGAGTTTGAATCCCATTAGATTGCTCTGATTTGGGCAATTTAAATTCTTAAGTTCCTCATTAGTAAAGTAAAACTTGTTGTGAGGGTTAAAGAGATAATATAAGTATAGCTTTAGTATAGGATCTGACATGTATAGTTAGGACTCTTTTGAAATTGTTGTGATGAAGTAGAACCTTTGAATTTAAATGTCTTTAAATTGTGTCTGATTTGGGGGGGTGGGCCGTTGAATGAGAGGTGCTTTACCACTGAGCCACATTCCCAGCCTTATTTGCTTAACTTTTATTTTGAGACAGGATCTGGCTTAGGGCCTTGCTAAATTGTTGTGGCTGGTATGGAACTTGTGATCCTCCTGAGTCACTGGGATTACAGGTGTACCCCTGATACCTGGCATGAATTGTCTGAACTTTGCTTCCTCTTAAAGGTTCTACCCCCTTCCCAAGTTCAATCCTTAATAGGTTTATATAAGATTTGAGATCTTTGTTTACTGAGTGATGAGGTGGTGAGACCAAATATTAAACAACTACTACCCTTTTAAGTATTTAGTATTTTCCTCATATAAGTGCCAGTCATTTTAAGTATATGGAGAAAAGCCACAAGTATTGTATTGAGAGCTAGGTTTGTTTTTTTGTTTTGTTTTGTTTTTTGGGGGAGTACTGGGGGTTTAACCCAGGGATGCTTTACCACTGAGTCACATCGCTACCCCTTTTTATTTTTCATTTTGAGACAGGGTCTCCCTAAGTTGTTGGGGGTCTTGATAGATTGCTAAGGCTGGCCTCAAACTTGTGAGCTTCCTACCTTAGCCTCCAGAGTTGTTGGGATTACAGGTGTGTGCCACTGGTCCAGCTATTTACTAAATTTTTAAATTAAGATGACAAAAAAGCCCAAGTGTATCCTTTATTTCCTAGAAAGAACCTTGCTAAGGTAGGTAGCTATTAGTTTGAAGTAAAATGAAAACTTCGGTCTTTACCTAATGAAAGTTGTTTTCTTTAGGTAAAGAGTATTATTAGATTGCAATGGTTCCATATTTTAAAACACTTGTAGCTACTTTGATTATGGCTGAAATATATTTTTAAAAGATTGTGCATTGGAAAGCCTGTTGTAACTTCTTGCTGCCAGCTACAGCTAATTGTCAGAAATAAAATGATAAGATGGCTTTCTTATCCATATATGTCAGCTTGTCAGTTTGTTTGCTTTTGCTTATCTTTTTTCATAGTGTGATTTAAGAAATAAACTTTTACCCCAGTTTTCAAACATCTTAGGTGAGAAAAATGTGGATGTATCTTATGAATGTTTTTTAGTGGGCTTAACTGCTGTGAGCTTTTAATGGGTCATGAATTCTCCTTAGCTGCATTTATGGAAGAAAGTTTTTAAAAAGGTTAAAGTCTGTAGCCAATTGTAGAATTTTTGTTCTTTTATCAGAAAAGTATTTTAAGGGTCTAGAGAACTTGAGCTGCTTGGATGGGGTAAGTTTGGCCACTGAGTGACTAACAGCTTATAAAATATGGCAGTACCTTAGATTTAGAAGTTGAATTAAAGATATTGAAAGTGAATTTGGTGTATAACTGCATTAGAATTTAAATACCAATTACTTTTCCCCCTTATGGAAACAACTGTTAACCTAACAGAGAAGCTATGTTAAAATAAGTAATTTTAGAATGCATATATTTAAAAGCTGTAAATTCTGAAAGAATAGAGTGACTTATGCCTTTACCATTTCGTGGTTTTTAATAATTATTATTTTTTTTAAGTCAGGTAGATTCTTAGATTGTTCTTGGGATTTGAGGGAGCAAAGGAGAAAACCCATTTGGGAAACTATATGAAATGACTTTGAAAAAAGTTTGGGAAGGAGGGTCTAGTGACATGGGTGTTAAATGGATCAGGAAGGTGTATACAGAAAGAAAACTTTTTAAGGGATGGTGAGAGGTTTCTGTGTAATGCAGAAACAGCAGTCAAAACAGCCAAACTTGACACTGGTGATTGTTTTTGGTTTTATCGTTACAGATCCAGTGAAATTATTTCAGAAAGGAGATTTCAGAATCTGAGTACTAC